GGAGGAGTAGTAGTAGTAGTGGCAGCCGCCACAGCACTGCAGCACAACATCCCGACAGAGGACAACCTACCCAAAAATCCTTGCATCTCACAGCAAACATGGGACCTCATCCATCAACCCACGGCAGCTCGGTGCTCACGGCGACAGGACTTGGAATGACAATTACGCAAAGAGATCAGAAAGCCAGCTCGCAAGGACAACGCCCAGTGTTAAAGCATGCGTTGCGGAGAGCGAGGCCACTCTTGGACTCAGGTCCGAGTACAAGACACGCCCAGGACTGGATCAAACCTTCGCGGAAGATCCGCTGGGCAGCACCAGCAGCGCCTGGCACCCACCTGCCACGGTCAACCTGGAACTCACAGAACCTGAAGCAACTGGCAGCAAACAAGTCTCCTGAACCAGACAATCAGGAACACAGCCACCATCCCGGCCAGCTGCAGCCCGATACCACTTCCCAACAGAGAAGAGTTTTTTTTGCCAAAGTGTTACTGTTACAAACCCGGCTTTCGACGATAGACCACACGCTGGCACCCGGAAAGGATTCCCGCTTTCACCTTATCTGCTCCTGAGCGGTCCGGCTGGCACGAAGCTGTTGTCTGTGTACATGGCAGGCATGTTCGGGAAGGGGATCTATTTTGCCGACTGCCCGCTGAAATCCTGGCGGTACTGCTTCTCGAGCAGCCTGTCATGCACGGATGTGCATCAAGTCGGCGCAAGATCGATTTCGGCGCAGATGTGTCGTGACCCTGCCTCCAGGCAAGCAGATGGCCGATTCGTTGCCAAGGACTGATGTCTTTACAATTTTTTAGATTCGTACCGCCTTCGTGCTTATTTGCATGTTCCTCAACTCGACCAGGTATTCTCAAGCTTGACTCTTCCACTCGACCGACCCAGCTCAGCTACCAGAGTTGTGGGCGAATCTGTGATCAAGTCGGTCTACCACTGCACCCCACACGCCCTTTGCACCATAGCGTCAATGCCCGTGGGCTTGATGACTGAATGCTGACACTTGTGCACAGTCGGCTCTCTCTTTGCGAACGACACCCACCAGAAGTCCCGTCTCGATTGAGGGCTGCTTCACTAAATGAAGAGCACACTTGTCGGAACGGGAACAGAAACAAAGCGGATTGCGCAATCTTGAGCTCGATCGGACCTTCATTGACAAGTGTACACACTTGCTTTTTAGCTATTCAGTTGAACACTCTCAAGCGTCTGGTACGACCTGAAATGCCTACAGTTTGTTGACGAAATATGAATGAGTCAAGCAATGGTTCGGGCGAAGTACAGAGAGCAATGCACGGAAGCAATAAAGATAAATGCAGTTAGATGCTCCTCGAGAACAGGTAGCAATTACCACTTCATAGTCGTAACTGCCTTAGAGAGCAGGAGCGCCTTGGAGAAAGATGTGCGGCAACCAAGCCAAGACGACAGCATAGCTATTCCTTGAAAAGCATGCACGCACGATTGACCAACGGCAATGTGTGCAACCTCTACATCCGGATGAAGTGCCTTGATGGTGTTTTGTTGCCATGTCCGGCAAAATGTTCCACCAAGGGTGATCCAACATGGACAAGCCTTACTGTAGTTGCCAACCGCATCTGGCCGCTCCGACGAAAGGATTCTTGGTCGGGGTGGCTACATTCTTATGTGCTGGGTGGACCTTGGCACAAGACGAGAGGATTGCCAAGCTGTTGGAGCAGTCTAGCCCGGTGGGTCTTGGGGATGGTGTTGTGCAGGAGAAGGAAGCTAAGCCAGAGCTTAAAGGCTACAATCGACGAGGTTGGATGGCTTGGCTGACAGGCCGCACCGCAAGTTTGCACGGCTGTGCATAGCTAATGCACATGTTGCGTGTTGAACTGGTGGACGCGAGCCAGTGAAGCTAGTGTGCGGCGAGCCGAGGTCAGCATGGGGCTTCTTGATAGCACTGGCCCATGTATCAAGCAGCACACGCTGTGACGGACAAATTTGGTGAGTCTGCCTCAAACGGCGCATGTGAGGCTTATGACTCAGCCGGGACCCACAGCTTGTGCAGCGTTGATTTCTTTGCTTCCAGCTCTTGCCGTTGACCCTGTCAGCGTAGTTTCCGCCATGCGAGGTAGTTGGAATGACGGTGCTTTTGCTGCATCTGTGGTTGCTGCATGTGCCAGCAGCGCATGCCCCCCCGTATCCCACCGTAGAACAACTCCTTTTTCAACATCTGGTTCGTTGCGGAACTCGAGGAAGAGGAGGGCGGGGCACTACGCGTCCCAGAGAGCCTTTGCTACATAGCAAGACCACCCAGACAGTGATTGGGACCAGTGGCAGCTTGCCGGATGAAAGAAGCGATGTTCATATGGGCTTGTGCGAGGTATATCGTGTACGACACCTCCCAGGTGGCCTGCACATTTAGCAGCGTGTGTCGCTCTGGGGGGCCCAGGAGCCTGCCATGTTGAGATGCGGAGGTGCGGTGCGCCTACCTCTTTGAAGTGTTCAAACATGAGCGGGGTACCGCGCAGCAGTCGAATTCTAATCAAGCTTAGGCCCAGGCCTGTTTCAGTTAGATGATGAAGTCATCTGCCTGCAATGCTTTGTACATATGAGTGGTTCCGGCACATGCCTGCGAAAGTGCTTGATTCCTTGCAAACGCAAATGCGAGTGGCGAAGGCTTTCCACTGCATCTTTTGCAAGGAGCAGCAAAAGTTGGTTGGTGCTGCAAACGCTTCGACCTTCTTCCGGGTTCTGGAGGGAGTCATGAGAGCCGACTGGCCACTCGTGTGATGTCCGTGATGCCCCGGTCTGTGGACATTTCAGCACTGTCTGATATTTTGCTCAGAATCCGCTGAATTGCATTGCATAAGCTTCACGACTTACATTGCCTGTCAGGGGGGGATGCATTAGGCATCTTGCCGGTCAAGACAAGTGCAGCTGCAAGGCAGGAGTGTTTGTAGGACCTCGTGCAACGATAGGCAACGGATGAAATGGAGTCAATCTAGCAGACCTTCAGCACGATCTGGAAATGGATTGTCCATTCTGTCATGTTTCCATCTCGTGTCAACGTTGCCATCGCCCGAGCATGCTTCCAAACCGTGCACGAGCGGAAACAAAGTCGGCCAAGGCTGCTTGTCTCTGCTGCTCTCAGGTCTATGGAAAACGATGGGCCATCGCAAAAAAGCAGCATGGAAACTGCCGTGTCGACATCGTGCACGTTTCCGAGGCTGGCTGGAGGTTAGGGTCGCAAGCTAGCTTTGTGTCTTTGGCTGTAGGGTTTCGCTTAGCTCCATGATGACGGCCAGGTGGAAAAGGAGCGGCAATTCCGAAAGAACGGAGATGTGAAGTGGCTGTGCGCGGCCAAGGACTGAGTCGCCAGTCCGCCTTCGGCACAAATTCGCCCCCCAGGATCCAAAAGGATGGCAGGTCCGAAGGGTTCTTGATCAGAAATGCACCGCCCTCATTTGGAAAGTGTCGTCTTTCAAGCTAGGACAGTAGAGAGGTGATGCCTGCGTTGTGGTTTTCTGTTCGTAAGCTTTATGGGCACCACTTGCCCCGGCAAAGTCAATCCAGATGAAAGTAACTTGGATCATGCAAATTTGGAGCAAGGATCATCATCCCCGTCGTGCCCTCACAGGCTTGTCGGCCATGTGTTGGGATAGGAGGTGGAAATTCAGCGGTGATCAGGTGGCATCCCGATGATGCTTGAGAGTGTCAGTCGGTCCAACATCAACCAGCGATGGCTGCTGGGTCCTTGGCCGGCACGGCATGCAGTTGGTTTTCTTCGGCGGACCTTCCAAGGCTTTGCTTTCCAAGAGGTCCTCCCGGGCCTCACGAGCCCTTTTTCATCAAGAGTGCGCTTAGCCTTGAAAGTCGTCAGAGAACCAAAAGTGGTGCAGTAAAGTGCGCCATTGAACATTCGGTGCTAAGGCCATCAGTGGGATGTACCTTGTCGTTGATGAGGGCCTGCGGATGGTGACGTTGCAAAAGGTCTGAATTCCCTAATTAAAGCCGCGCAAAGAGCAGCGTTTGGGCTTGACCCGAAGCCCTCACGAATGGCTACAGCTCGAGCCGTTTGGCTCAAGTGGGTGGCTCCAGTGCGCTTGCATCATGGGAAATTGTGCAAGTGCCAGCATTGATCCCGGCCATGAGTGTCACGAGCGCGCCTTCCCCATGTGGGTGGTGAAGGTATCAGATGTGATGGCCATGAGCGGAGTGTTGCAGCCCCACGAAGTGCTTCGAGATTCCGGACTGCTGGTGGAGCACCGGCCAGGCACCTTCTGCATCTTCATTTCCCACCAGTGGCTGGGCCGGCGTCATCCAGACCCCACAGGGGCTCAGCTCAAGGTCTTGCAGCAGGCATTGCTTGCCATCGGCAGTGGTTCGCTGGACTTGTATGTAGACCTCGTCCAACAATCCAGGCACGGAAACCGCTTCATATCAAAGGCAGAACGTGAAGCAATTGTGCAAGGATATGTATGGCTGGACTGGTTCTCTATTCCGCAAGACCCTGGCAGGGTAGCAGACTTGCGCCTGGCGGTGCAATCGATCCCTTCTTATGCAGATGCTTGCAAAGCGTTTGTTGCTCTGGTTCCCGAACTGCTCCATCATGATTCCGGCTCAATTTGTGACTTCGAGACTTGGAGGATGCGGGGTTGGTGTAGGTGTGAGCTGTGGTGCGCGCAGCTCTCCAACCAACGTGGCCTGCCCATGGTCGCAATCTATGGACCTCATGATGCAGAGTTTTTGATGAGCAAAGATTGGGTTTTTGCACTACCGGACGAGGGTGAGTTCACCGTCGAGGAGGACCGGCTTGCAATCAAGGGCATCCTGCAGGTCTGCCTTCGAGCACGAGTGTCATTCCTACAAAAGCATCCAGAAGAACTTGGATTGTGCAGGTATTTGAAAGCAAGAGGTGTCAAGTATGTGGATCAAGCCCGGGCATGGTCTTTGGAATCTTTCTTGGCATACTTCGGCTTTTCTGATTTGCAATCTGCACTGAAGACCAAAGACCTGGGGGCTCTACATTGCGCCAGCATCATGGATGAAGCTTCAACCATCCGCTCACTCGTAGAAGCAAAAGCTTCTGTGAATGCAAGGTGCAAGGCAATCATGAAGGTGAACCTTATGCCTTCGCCCCCTTTGTATGTGTCCGTGGAGTTGGGCAACCTTGCAGCCATAAGAGAGCTTCTAACACTGCAAGCTGACCCGAATTCCAGTGCTGTGCCAGGCCTTCCGGCCCTTGGGGTTTGCAGGCACCCTGACACTGTGGATTTCATGCTGCAGAATGGTGCGGATGTGAACCTGCGCCCGCCCCCAGCCAAGATAAGCCCGCTGGCATTGGCCTGTAGCGTAAGTGTTCCTGCAGAGGTTGTGACAAGACTGCTGGAGGGACGAGCGGACGTCAATGATTCCTATGGCGGTCATTCCAAGTCAGCCTTAGCATGTGCTGCAGGCTACTCATGCAGGGCTACCCCTCGTACGAGTCTTGCCCATGCCAAGCTGCTTCTCGATGCGCGCGCGGATGTGAACCAGCCAGGATGTCCCACTGGCCTCTTTCGCATGCTTGAGCTTGGGTACAGGTTGGCAAACTGCTGCGGGAACAGCAGGTTCCGAAGCCGGTACTTTGCGGAGTCCAGCTCAACTCCCTTGGGCTGTGCGGCTCAGTGTGGAAATTTGCCCCTGGCCTCTTTCCTCTTGGCTGCCAGGGCTGACCCAGACCTGCCCAACAGCCGTGCCCACACGCCCAGACACTTAGCCAGAATCTCAGGCAATGCAGACATGCTGCAGCTTTTCGAGAATGATAAGCCTGTGATCGAGACAGAACAAGTGCTGGTGGAGCACTTTTAAGCCTGAGCCCACCTTAATTCATCGTTTTAAGTCCGGCCGCTTATGCTCAAGGCGTTTGAAGTCGCCGGTTGGTTGCACCCTCGCAGATCAGTGGGGCAAGGAGGCACAAGCCAGGATCAAGCGCGAGCCCAAAATGTGTGGTCAAGACGGCAAAAAGGAGAATTGCATGCCCCAATTCCCGACCCGACATTTCTCGTTGAGCCTCGCAGGATCCTCCGGAGCTTCACTGGCGCGTCCATGATGCGACGCGCAAGGTCTGCCTTCCGAAGTGCGATCCTTAGTTCAATGCAGAACTTTCTTCTTTGGCCCACAAGCCAGGCGGAATCCTTCAGTACCTCCCTCGTGCGACGCCCAGCAGACATGGCTGCAGAATTTGCTGCAGAGCTTGATTTGCACAGTCGCCGTTCAGTCGGTCCAGGTGGTGCCTTCATCAGTGCAGACGCGGCGACCCTACAAGAACATGTTTTAGCATGCGTTAGATCAGACTAGGTTTCAAGCTGGCGTACGACCGACGTCGCAGCACCGGGGCTCAAACTGGGGTTCGCGGTCGCGAGGGAAACACCAGGAGCTTGGCCGAGGCAGGACGCGCCCCTTGCAGATGCGAAAGAACGAGTTTTTCGGAACGGAGCAATGCCAGTCGGAATCAGGGCCGAAAGAGTATAGACTACAGTTGATCACAGGCTACATGGTGCAATCAATGTCTCGCATCATTAGCAGCACGTCTTCAGTAATGAAAGCCGCTGCCGCTGTTGTCGTCGCCATAATCCTCGCCTCAGAAACGACAACGACCACCACAGCGGCATCAGCAATACTGGCACGTTCGGCAACAAGTCGCCTAACACAGGGCGCAGTTATGAACCACGGGGATATTTCGATGCCTTATGATTTATGAACTTTGCAATTGTTGTGTTTGTCATGTGTTGGGCCGCCATCATGCGATAGGCGATGGTCATCGCTTCGGAGTTTACAGAGCAAAAGCCTACTGGTGGCCGTTGGCCCAGAGTCTCGTGCAGGGTTTGTCAGCAAGCCTTCCGCACGCTGTTAAGGCAGTAGCTTCGGAGGCAAGGCAGTGGAGGTTCCACCGACGATGCAAGATGTCTTTAGCGGGGTATGGGCAGGCAACTTCCGAAAGACCGCCTTTGCAGCGTACGTCTTCCCCAAAGGAAGACAGCTGGAGAGAGATGGAACACAGAGGCCGCGCAAGGCATCGCCTTTTTCCGATCACTCCATCTGTCGTTGCCGTGCTGCACAGGCTAGAGCACGCAGAGCAACGACAGATTGCGGGTTTGGTGGACCCTGCGTTGTGCTGTCAGGCTGCATTCAGACGGACTTCGTTTTGAAAGCAGTCGCACGTCCGAGCGCAAGACATGGCTTTCGCCAGCAAGGTCAGTCAGCGGCGACGGCATACGCAGCAAGCAAAAGGTTTCAGAAAGAGAGGCTGCTTACGAATTACTGGCAGCAGCTTAGCGAAACTGTGGACAAGTGTCTTGCCCCGGCTGGGTATGTCAGTGACAAGGCTGCTTGTCACTTACTTGGCCGGATGCAAACCTTAGCTGCATAGAAATTCAAGGCATGCTGAAGGTGGAGTGCCCCAGCCTCAGATGCCCTGTTGCTGAGTTCCCTTATCCTCGTGCGAGAGCTCACCGAGGAAGCTAGCCACCTTTGTCACGAAGAAACCGGCTTCCCGGTCTTCGTCTGTCCCAAGCCTAACACGTGCAGCTGAACCAGAACCCAAGGCCAGATGGATTGAGTTGCGACTTGATTCATGCAGGGTGCAGGCGAGTTGACGCCGCGTTGGTTGTAATGTTTGACTGTCACAACACGGCTCGTTGCCGAGTTGATCATACAGCTAAGTAGTTAAGTAGTCTGCCATGAGCATGGGCGAAAAAGAGAAAGCACACCGTGAACCGTCCTGCAGGCACAGCGAGCGAATCCTAGAGGTGCCCACTCTAGATGTTTTACATGCACGTGTAGGGAGCATGTCGAAGTCTGAGGTGAGGTTTCTCCAGGTTTGATCGTCCGGACCAGTTCGTTATGGTTGGGCATTCGTTCGGGCTGGTGGTGGCCCCGTATACAACTACAACTACAGCGGTCGCTCAGCCGTCGTCGCTGATTTTCTGAAATTGCTGCTTTGTTGCCGGCTTTCAATCTCTGTGTCGATGAGTATGGCTCCGAGCACTCAGAGACCACTCGGTAGGCCTTGCCATACGCCGAAAATTCACTTTTTGCTGGGTCTCGGTACGATGCGATGAAACTGATCGACATATCAACTGGAAGTTTTTGCAACACGGCAACTGTCGCGGATGGGTGGGCCCTCGGCCTCCCGTGGGACCGGTTTGCTGTTTGAGCCTGTCTACAGGAGGCGTGGCCATCAGTGTGTGCTGTTCGGGCTGAGTTTCGAGGTTGTGTGCTAGTGCCCTGGCCTGCCGGGAGCGCGCGTCGGAGAAGGTCGGGGAAAAAAAGAACTGTCGCGGATGATCGATGGCTAATGTGCCATGCAATGCTGCATTTAGGAATTGATTGGTATCACACTTAACTTCCCTGCCTAGAGACTCGTTCAGCAACGCAGATAGGGGCCGTGATGCTCCGCCAATTTCTCTTCTTCTACTATACTAATCCTCCTGTGCCGTGCTACTTTCTGCATGGTTTGCTAGCCGTGATGGCAGTGATTGAAAACGAAGGACCAGAGCCCTTTCTGTGTTTCGTGGATGTGACGCCTAGCTGCTTTGATCACGGGCGATTGGAGGAGAATGTTTGTGAGGTGGTGGGATCAATTGAATCTGTTCTGAAGGGTCCGGACAGATTCGAATCATGCCCAAGCGCTCTCTCGTCGTGATGTTGCGAGCGGATTGATTTGCGGTGGATCGGTGCTCCATGACAAGGTGGTATTCGACGAGTTTAGGGCCTGTGTGGGGTCAGACCGCATCATGCGCACGTTCAGCCCGGTGATCGGCACGGCGACTCCTCGAACCGTGACGAACGATTGGGACTGTAGCCTTAACTGGCAGGGGCCAAGTGTGAGGATACGCAGGACCTACAGACGTGGACGTAAGCGCAGGAGACCAGTACGTAAATCAGTCGCTGTCATGTAAATCCCTGTCTTGGTGTGGTCGATGTGTGGACACGTGGAGGCAACGCCAGAACCGGTTCAAGAGCCCGAGCCCGTCGAGGAGGTGCTCTCAGAACCAGTTTTCGAAGAGGAGACCAAGCTTACGCATGCGAGTGCCGTTGAGAAGTTGTCATGATGGGCTGCGGCATGACCATCAGCTTTCCTGTACATGCAGTTCACAGCAGTTCTCAAATAGGCCTGGTTTCAGAAGCTCACGAAACAACTGCAGGCAACGCAGTTGGATGCACGTAGACAGCCGGGCCTCTCGCCTGGGTGATGGTGTGAGGTAGCGGATCGTGGAAACGGGCCTGGAAGTGTCTAGACAAGAGCGGCATTTAAAGGATGAGATGGAATTGAGAAAAGGAGCAAACTCGGAGGAGGGTTGGTTCAGCCACCAGAAAGGTGGGAAAACACCGTCGCCGGCCCAATACTTCGGTTGAAAGCGGGACTGCAGCACGACAAGCGGTTCTCTTCCAACAGTGTAAGAGTGTATCCTTATCACTCCCAAGACTTAAAGACGAGGGGGCACAAATTAGCATCTCGTCACGAATGTGCGTGAAACCGTTATCATAAATGGATGCCGCTGACAAGAGGCCTTCTGATGTTCATTGCAGCCTAGCTCTATCTTTCGGAGGAAACTGCCTTTGCATGCATTCGTTGCAGAGGGATGGGGCCTCGCTGTCTTTGCATGCAGTGTGGTTTGCAACACAGCCGGCGAGAGCTTGCAATCGGTCTTGGTGGAGCGGATTTTGTTTGCGATGCTTCTCAGCTGGTTTTTGCAGGAGGAGCAGCCTCAGGAGCTGTCGGCGCCTCCCGGTTGAAGCTCATCGCAGGATTCCAGAGATATGAAAAAGGTGGTGCCTTCGGTGGTTGGCGCCAACTTAGGTCCATGCAGTCGCGGATGATGTGCCTCGTCGGAGATAATGATGCCAGCCAGTGATACGGTGTGAGGCCCATGGTTTTTTCAGTGAGCCCAACAGCTCTTTCAGTGAACCCAAGCGTCCTTTCGGCGAAAACGCCTTGGCTGGGGATTTCAGGGTGGCCGGTTTCCAGTTCTTCGTTTCGTGAAACTCGTCCTTGGTTTTCTAAGGTTGAGGGTTACCTGTAGCTCCACAGTCTTACATCTTAATTTCAGTATGGCTCATTTGTATGGAACCTCTCCAGAATCTGCGGGTGGGAAAGCTCGGTCCGTTAGCTTCGGTCACGGTTCAAGTAGACTGTACCGAGGTTCCGTTAGCTGAGGGTAGGTTAGGGTTAGTACAGGCTAGGTTAGGATCGGGTTAGGTCACGTTCGCTTAGGTTAGGTTGCTGCGATTTCGCTTTCATCGATCCAGCATCTGAACGAGATGCAACACTGCTCAGTTTTCCGTGTGGCCCCGGGTTCGATTTCCACACCGGCGATTGTAAAGCTGGGAGTGCTCAGGGCTTGTACATGCCCATTCGATGAATACGCGGTTGCGATTTGGGATTCCTGCTCCTGAGTTGGCTGCAAAGGCAGCATTTAATGTTTTGATGTCGTAGGTTAGGATATGTCGGGGGTCGGGTTGGGTTGGGTTAGCTCAGATTTTAGATTGGGTTGCGGGGAGGGGTGAGTTAGGTCAGAGTCAGGGTGGGGTTGGGTTGCGTAAGGTTTGGTCCGGCTAGGCTCAGGCTAGGCTAGGATAGATGAGGTTGGGTCGGGTTGGGTTAAAGAAGGTTAGGTTGCTGTGGGCTGGGGTATCGGGTCAGGTTGGGTTGGGTTAGGTGAGGGGGTCAGCACAGGCTGGGATAGGGCGTCTAGTTGGGCAGGTGAAGCGAGGTTGAAGGCAACGCTAGGTTAGGTTCCCATACACCGAGCGCGGGTTGGGTCAGGTTCCGGTGGGCCAGGTTTAGGCCAGGTCAAGGGTGCATTACTGTAGCTTAGGCTGAGTTGAGGTTGGGGTGGGCGGGGTTGGGTCAGGTTAGGTCAGTTGCAGTGGCTAGGTTAGGGCGGGTGAGGTTGTGTCAGTTATGTCGGGGTGGGTGAGATCAGACAGCTCGGGTCAGGGTGGGTTATTCGTCCCAGGATGGGTTAGACTAGGTTGTGGCCGGGTTCCTAGGATGAAGATTAGGTCGTAAGGTAAGGTGTGATCACACCGCTGCCTCTGCTAGAGAAGATAGGTTGCGTTTGATGCTGTTCCGCTTTCAGGAACTCGCGATGGTATCCGCATCCTTCGCTGACAAGAGGTTCGCTGAAACTGTCGACTCCAGCAGCTCTTGCACAGGGCATAGATCCTGAGAAGGAGAGGTCGATTGCGTTGATTACCTGGTTTACTGCGCATGTCGACGCCCACATCGTATAGCTGTCGAAGGCTGTTGCTTGATGCTTGCAGGACAAAGGCCACCAATGCCCCTTCTTCGAGGGTAGCAAGCATCGCTTCAAAGACGTGCAAGACCGACCAGATGCTCAACTGAGAGAGTCTATGTGGCTCGGCAGCATGAAAATGGGGCATTCAGTGAGAGCAGCCAAGACAGTGTTCACCAAGGCGATCCATGAAATGGAAATCGGAGGATTTGTGGAACAGCCAGGACGTGCACAAGTCCTTGAAAATTACCAGCTTCCGCTGAAGAGTCTGGGTCTATGTCTATGTTTCACCACAAAGCTGAGCTGCAGCTTCAATCAAATTGATGCGGGCAGTACCTCAAGCTTGACAAGTGAGCAGCGGAATGTGCAATTGGAGAAACAGGGGTCAGCAGCTGCAGTTCAGGGTGTTGCGTTTTCAGTCCTGTGGTCGCATGCAAGGCCTTGTGGCGGCCAGTTAGAGGACTCGCCTGGGAGTCTCGGGCATGAAGTCTTGCGATTGCGCTTGCTTAGGCTTGGGGGCTGTCGTGAGCCACGCAGGAAGCCTTGGCGCTTCCCGACTTGGAGCCCTACGACGGTGATGTCAGCAGCGCCTTCAGAGAAGGGCCGGCCTCTGGCAGCCCTGTGCTCAGACGGTGCGAAAACCGCAAAGTGAAGAAAAAAGCTCAGGCCGTATCCAGCTCAGGATCTGTTGCCGATGTGTCCTCGCCTCCCGACTTGGATGCTTCGTCAAGCTTCACCCCAGTGGAGCAGATGCTGCACGAAGAGGCCATTTCACCCAGCAATGTTTCCAGGCAGAGTACTGTACCAGTCCCAAGCAATCTTTCCCGTCAGATGGTCCTCTGCGATGCGCACGAGCGGCTGCCCCAGAGCAGACGCTTTTAGATGGCACGACGTAGAGAGTACCTGTCGTAGAGAGTCTGGGAGGCTGCTGCCTGAAGGGAGCGGCCTGGCACCTGGAGATGCTGGGATCTTGGCAACCGCGGCACGCTGCTAGCCGCCGAACCTGTACTGCCCTTACTGATGCTTTGAGGTGTTTCAACGCCTGTGGGGTCGTGGCAATTCTTTTGTGCAGAGCTACCAGGCACGAGACACATTAGAACCTCGTTCGCCCTTGACTCTTGACATGATGCAGAACTGAGCAGCTCTTGGGTGTGATGCAGGCGCGCAGAAACGGCCGGGCCCTGACGTGGGCCAGCTTTGGGTGTAGTAACTGAACGATGCGATCGAGGCCGGGACGTGTGTTGGCCGGCACCTGACTTCCTGTCTCAAGTCTCAACCATGCTGCCTGGCAGTCTGAGTGCCCGAGGTCTGGTCCAGGCATTAGCTCGGAGCTTAGGCAGATGGCTGGCCATCGTTGACAAGGCACTACGACTAGCACTGTGAGGTGAGAACAGGCCGTGGGAGGCATTTGCTGAGCTCAAGTGCTCTGTCCGGGTCGGCCGCTCGAGCTTGGCCCAGGAACTGCTGCCACGTTTCCTTGAATGCCAGGTCCCAGTGCTGGGATGGCGGCCGTACCAAGAGGTGGGGTGCAGACAGGGCCGAATCGCCGGCATCGAGTGCATCAGCCTGGCGGAGCTCAAGAATTCAGGGACCTTGTGACTTCGGTTTCGTTTGTGCTCGATTTAGATGGGTGATTGCACTTGAAGCGTGGCCACGGCAGGATGGATACATAAATATGCAAATGCACACATGCTCACGCACATGCCTACATACATGAGTGCATGATAGTGCATGAGTGCATGCATACCGGCATACCGTTGAACTTTGGGCATCCATGCTGAAGAGCACGATGCCTGGGTACAGCCAGCAAAGTTTTGCGGGCTGTCAGCATTTGGCAGGTCATGCGATTTGCACTTTGCTATGAACCTGCAGCATTTGCTGCACGGGCCTCGAAGGGTTTGTCCTAACGCCTCAATAGGATGCCCTTGAGCTGCTCCTGCACTTGCTATCTGCTGCTGTCTGACGAGTTCACTCAGGGCAAGTTTTCCGAGATGGATGTCAGTGAAGTGTTGGCGGTGCAGCTGGTCCGCCACGGTGGCCCCCAGCAGCTGGCAAGTGGTGTTGTCGTGTCTGCAGGTTGGGAATGTCGATGCCGGCAGCATGGGGAACTTTCGCAGTGAGAACTTGATGCTCTTTTATCAGTGGTCACCTGAGACTCAGTGAGAAGGAGCCCAAGAAAGACTCAGGAGCTGCATCAATGCATGGCTGCCAGGCCGATGTGCCCAGGGCCAACTGTGCGCGTGGCTCAGTGCTGTCCAGGTCGGAACTTGCGATTCAATTGTCGTGGGCCTTCGGGGCTAGCGGCATCAGCGGACATCGTGGTCTAACAGGCAGAAATCCCAACTCCGTCCAGCCATTGCCCAAGTCCAAGTTGAGTCTGGCAAGGCTTCGGGCGTTGGCTTTGACTCCCAAAGGACGGTTCTCGCATTGGCCTCGACGACCAAGTCAGTCTGTTCCTGCTAGTATTCGGCACTCTTGTGCCACACTCCTACATCAATGTGCAAATGTGCACCCTGGCACACTCGCCCCTTCAGCCTGACGTTCTTGACCAAGGAGTATGGCGGTCGATGGCCACCGCAAGGCCGATGTTTTGCGGGCACCGAGCCGGAGCACACATGAGAGCTGTAGCGGGAGGTGTGAAAGTGAAGGGTGTACATGGACATACTTAGACATGAGCCGATTAAGAAAGGCTTGCATGGTGCTTGTAACTTTGTTGTGCTCAGTTGTTGCCTTGGCAGGCTTTATCCGATTTTATTCATGCTGTGCAAGACGAGGCAAAGAAATGGTGATGGACCCAGCTGAGTGAGTTTGTGCTGACCTTCGCTTATCACAGTTGAAACCCAGCAATACGCATCACAACGCATTGTTCAGGCACGTCAATGGGCATCAACCTGTCAAGGCATGGGACAGCACTGAAAGGAGGGAGATACTCTTAGCTCGGCCCGGGTACCAGGCTGCTGTCGTTGACGTGAAAGCAAAGGGCCCACCGGTCTGGACCGCCAAGTTGGAAACATTGCAGTTGCACAGATTTGCACAGCATCAGATGTGAGGTGTCTAGAGAGCGCTTTCCGAGGCAGAGGATTGCTGCTTCGCGGGTCTTTGCAGTTTAAAAGACACCTGCGTGTTAATGTAGTTCGGCCTGCCCGAGACTCGAGAGAGGCAGCTGTAGGACTGTAGGAACTGTAGGAAGCTCGTAAGTGGGACCTGCGCGGCTCTCGGCTTGAAGCCCAGGCCCGGGTCTTTCGCTGTCACCAAACGTCTATGGCCCAACGTGGCCTCGAGGTATCTAGGATGTTTGGAGGGCAGCAGGCATAGCTTGGTGACGTAGTGCTGCCACGTGGAATTCGAACAAGGAGACCGTGAGTCCGTGAGTGAGACTGAAGCCAAGTCCCTCCCCACGACGAAGACGAAGTGCCGCAGCCGTTCAAGTAGCACTTTGTCGGTCTACGCCCGCGGAGATGAATGGTACGACCGCAGGGACCTCGGGCTGTGGATATTTCCACTTGGAGGCACATCATGGCACTTTGCGCTGAGGCTCTGCTTCGCACATACGGGTCCCGAGTCTTGCAGCTGCCTGTTGTGCCCCTGCCTCAGACTGGACGTATGCATTTGCAAGTGCATGGATGCGAGTTGCATGAGGCAGCAGCTAGCTGCCGGCAGCTTACCTGTCGCGGGTTTGCAGCAGACATGACCAAAACATTTCTCAAGCTCTAGGGCTGGTTCAGACTGCTTCGTTTTTGAAACGCAAACACCCCGAAGTCCCGAAGCTCGAGCCTTCAGAAGCTGAACCAAATGGGGCGGACCCTCGCAAGATCAAGTTGGGTGCACTCTGACTGCAAATTGTTTCTCAGGAGAGTGCTGTTCTCAAATCTGTCCGATTCCAAGACGAACCTTGCAAAGACCTTTCGATGCAAAGACGCTTACCTGCCAGGCTGCAGAAGAGCTTGCGCAGGAAGCAAGAGCAGCCCCAGCAGCTGTCAGGACCTATCCACCACGAATAGGCACGATTGCACGGTGCTCTGACATAAGGTCTTTGTTGCTTTGACCCTGCTCCTGCCAGCACCTCAGTTTGAGCACGTGCTTCGGCTGATGATCACGGCCTAATCCAGCCTGCCGGACGGGAAATCCAGCTTGAACGGCAACCGGATGCACAGTAACTCAAGTTCGAGTCGACAACCTCAAGCCTGAAAATGATTCCAAGACGCAAGACGGCCATCAACTGAGCGAGAAACTCTGAGTGAGTGTCACTATCACCCAAACCGTGGGGCGACTCTTATCGAGAGTTCGCCTTCGTCACCAAAGGCGCCAAGAGACGAGGATTGCAATAGGGAAATGTCAGGCACCCTCTTAGGAAGCCCAAGAGATGCGAGCATGGAGTCATCCGTGTAGTGTGTCTCTTGATCTTCGCATCGTGGGCTAAGTTTGTTCCTGTTTCGTGGCAGCTCGGCCGGCTGCTCAGGATGTGCTTGGGAGATCACGCCTTCTGCCCAAAATTCTCTGGCTTTTACCTAAACGCGCTTTGGGAGGCTGGCAGCGCCAAGCCAGCAGTGAAACGGGGCAAGAATGAAAAGGAGGCGCTGTTCAATCTCGGGCGTGGTGCAGTTGAGTTCCGCCCCGGCAAGTAGGTGGTGGACTACCATGACAGCGCTGTGACCAGTTTTCTTGACAGGCGGCATCTCGATCTCAGGTTAAGGCAGGCCAAGATTGTCAATGCGAGGCTCGGCGTGCCCCAGGAGCGGCATTTGGAAGCCTGCTTCGTGCCGTGTGGAGGCCTTGCGATCATCCCCTCCTCCCTCGCTACCTCCCCGACGACTCTGTGTCTCTCTGTCTGTTGGCTTCGAGGCTTCCTGGTGAACGGGCAGATTTCCGAATTCGAAAATGATGTGTGCTACGGAAAGATGCTACTTGAATGCAGATGGACATCGCATGGAGATTCGGACGTTGTGTCTTCATAGGACGTGTCGACACATGTCACGATCATCAGCACGAGGCTTGAGATGCATCGAGCAACGCATGACAAGGTGCTGAACGTCTGCAGACACCCGATGCACTGCTACATGATTCATACGATGAATTCATCCCAGACTTCCGACCGTGCCACACATCGCAGGAGCTCGAGAAATCGGCTGATTACCCCTACGGGACTGTAATCGTGTTCCAATTCAGTGGTTGTGTAAACAGGAAGGGTGTGGATGGCAGTGTCCTGACTGAGAGGAGCTACTTCGTTGGCAAGAAGCGTTTGTGGGAAACTCGCGTGCAGTCCGGAGCTTGGCAACCTGCTCCTGGCCGTATTGATGCGCTCACATTTACCGTTTCGTCAGGCTGAAGTTCAAAAAGCCTCCGATACAGTCTGAAATGCTCCTGGACTGCAACAACATCCGCGCCAGGAGAGTTGCCACACGAAAGCTGCAACTCGCGGCAGGTTTTTCGGCATCGAGCTGGAGAAGTATGTCGGCATCTGACACTTCAGTACTGCTACCCTGCGCCCGTGAGCGTGCGCTTGAGCTAATGCTTTCAATGTTTTGCCATGCATGCACAGGTGCCAATGTCCAGATCCGTCAAGCGGACAATGGATGGAGTAGTTCGCATGTTGAAGGGTGTCCAAGCCCTAGATTCGCGGCTCTGCAGTAGTTGTCAACTCAACGGACTGCTCACTCAAGCAGTTGTCAAAGGATGCATGCTTTCGCAGGTGGTGGGAAACCAAATATACCACAGCGTGGGCGACAACCCGGAGGACAGCTCGCCCCGAAGCAACAGTTCAAAACAAGACTCAGCTTGGGTTGGAGGTGTGCGTGGAGCTAGGGTCAGCCTGCGGAGGAATGTGCGGATTCGGCAGAACTCGAGATGTCCCGACCTTATTCCAGGGAGAGAGCGAGACTTCACAACTTGAACAAGTTGAAAGTCATCTGTGGCAGGCCTACGTTTGTGATGCCCATGTGGGCGTTCGATCAGTACATCGTCACAGCTGAGGGGGCAGGGGCCTCGACTAATTTTCAGACTGTTTCCGCACTCCTGTCCGATCCAAGGAAGTTCCGCCAGAACTGGATGACGAATGCATCCCAGAGTTAGGTTCGCCGCCTCAGCGCTGAACCATGAGAAGTAGCTTCTTGAAGCTCGTGACACCCCTGCGCAATCCTCTCGGCCAGACATATAGACCTCGATTCCAGGAATCTCGATGCAGCATTCTGCAAGTATTTAAGGCAAGCACTGCGCCGCACAGCTCAAGAATTGATGCTTTGCAGGTTCGAAGCGCTCCGGCAGAGCCGCAAGCCCAAATGACAATTACTTGCATTTGATCTCTATTCCGGACACGACTGACGACCACATTTAGGGATGTAGAGCTGAGTATGGACATGCTTTTGTGCGTTTTGTGTTGTGAAATCGAAAAGGTCTCGGAGTTTCGAAAGGAGCTGGACAACATAGTGTTCGAGGCTGCGCGCTGTCAGTGTGCCGACTGCGCATGGGGTGCAATCCAGTACATGTTGTGGATGTTCGCACATTGTGTTATCGGTGCAGGCGGGGGTTTAGCACAGACATGCACAGACAGGTTGGCCCGACTTATACACTCTGCTTCTGGGGCATCTCCCAGTGGCTGGACAAGCTGAACTGGCAGGCCACTGACCGCAGTCTAATCAACGAGTTGAGACTGGAACTCCATAAGACACGAGACACTAAGCAATCGATGGGGTACACATCGAAGCGTCTTGAATGCTTGTGTGCAACGCAGCTCAAGCTGCCGCTTCTGGGTCGACTTCACATGGATCAGCAGGGCGCCTATCAGCAGTGGTCCCCAAGTGACACCGTCTGCAGTCTCATGTCTTGGTTGGCCTTCGAACCCTGTGCCGAGGTTTGCTGGCTCACCACCGGTGCATGCAGTGGACCGAGTTCAAATTCCAGTGGCGGTGATTATGGGCCGCTTGAGACTGTTCCGGTGCCAGGTTGTCATTTACACCCTCAACAGATCGCATGATCCGGATGAAAAAAGACGCAAGCCTGCACCATGGAGCTGCATCGCATGCTTTCAGATTGGTTTGCCAAGAAAATGCAAATCTCCCAGGACATCTCAATTCCAGGCCGGCCGAGCTGTCGGAATTTAAAGCATGAAAGAAGACTTATTGGAGCGCAGCGTGACTCTTGCTAGCCATGGCTGAGTCAGGAAGCAGTACTATCTCAATGTTGCGTTCTGGAGCTCCAACCATAGGCCAGATTCGTATAGTGGCCGGCTGCGGACGACGGTTTAGTGGGCAGTAAACTCCGGATACAGAAAGCCCAACGAAGCTGCCGTCAAACTTTTGTTCTGGCGTCTGCAGTTCTTAGAGCAAGCAGTTGTCACCGTATGCATTTTGCGAGGCCTCGCGGTGAGCGTGTCATGGAGCTCCTTGGTGCAGTGCATTCCTTGGCGAGCGGTTCACTCAGCAGCTGCACTCCTGGACCTGTCCGGTTCGTCAGAGGCAACGCGAGCGCTGGATCCAAGTCGGTTCAGCCACAGCCACAAAATTTGAAAGCCCGGGGGCAGCTGTGGAATGCAGTCGCTGTGTAAGTGAGGCCCGCGCATGGGTGGACTATCCCCAGTGAAGAGGCGAGCAGATGCAGGCCAGCAAGTGAATTGAGCTCTCGACACTCTCCGGTACGGAGATTTGATGAGGTGTCGCCTCCAGTTGGCTGGCCTGCTGCGCGGGGCACTGATGGACCTAGAGGCTCCCTTTCGTGAGGGACTGGTGACCAGACTTTCCCCGAATGTCTTGGGGACCTGCAGCATGCTTTAGAGCGGCACGATTCCGACACCGGGGACCTGCAGTCGGTCTCATCGTCCTTGGCACACGGTTTCACCCAAATCGGTGTGGAGAAAAGCGGGAGATTGAGCTGCCCACAGGGGGCATGCATCTCCTTGCGCTTTTTTCCTGGCGTGGTTCCAACGTTTGTTGATGTCACAGGCAGTATCTGCCAGTTTCGCTAACACTGGTTGCGAGCATCCGGCCCATATTGCCCACACTACGTCCGAGACTGACTATAGTCAGCATGTTGTACTTCATCATCTCGCATCGTATGGTATCGTGACATGTGTCATGTGATGTCATGTCCTGTCATAGCAGAGCATAGCATAGCGTGGCACGGCTTGCGTAGCATGAGCATAGCACAGCACAGTGCATCACAGCATATTATGTTACATTAAGTTATGTTTATATTCAGATCTTGTAGATTATAATGGCTGTCATTTTTGCCCTGGCAAAAAGGCACTTTCCTGGTACATATTGTATGATTCTACCTTCCACAAGTATATGTTGTGTCATTGTATGTCATTCTGCTACACCTGTTTATAAATTAGAGCATATTCCGATCAGATCGCATCATATCATACCTACCGTATGACACAACATAACAGTCAGTACGCAGTACAACGACTTGCCAGCCGATCCGGCTGGCCTGGCAAATGGCCATGTCCACAGCACTCGGCTTAATATGGTCCGTGCGACAAGATTGCTCAGGCATCAAAAAGGACGCCTGAGTATCTGAGATTCCACCGTCGGGCTGAATTTGCGGGAGAGGTCTTTCAGAGTGCCCAGAGCTGAGATGTAAGTGCTACTGGCAACGGAGTGTAATTCCTTTGTTCGCATGTTCGGTCAAAAGAACCCCCACCTGTTACTTGTCCTACGGAAGTCTCATCTACTTGCGCTCTGCAAGCGCGCTAATGCAAGGTTGAGCATCTTGTTGTCTTGCTTGCGGCCTTCCTCCGATTTGACAGGCAGAGTAAACATATTGTAGAATCAGGTTAGTGTGGCAACCTCTCCTGGAGCTTGACCCGTAGCGATTTCTTTTCAGCATGCACCTGCGCCAATGCCCAGGCATTGAAGATGCAGCTGCATGCGCCACGCAAGCGATGTAGTGTCTTGTTATTGGCATGCTGAATTGTAAATGATGCCTGCTGCCGTAAGATGCCGGTGTTTTCTGAAGTGATATGGCACAGATATTGCCATGGTGACGGCATGCATAGACAAGGCAGTGCGAAGACCTGCGTAATTTGATTCGATCTCCTGCGCTGACTGCGCGTTCCTGCCATGACCAGAACCATTGACAAAACAGTTTGGTGTCTTCGCCGTGGCCATGTGTGCGTGGGGTGGATGGCTGGATTGTTGGGATTATGTTTGTCTTTGCCCTGCTGCTCTTCAGCTTCTGACTTCGCTTGAGACCTTGGGGCTACTGGGTGCAGCGTATCGGAGCCCATCACGCGGCATCCAGGCGTAGCGCATCGGCACATCGGAGTTCAGAACCGCCTGCATTCTTTGTATGCAGGATGTCCCGCGCACGGTCCAGTGTGCCGCCCAGAATCTGCTCCAGTGTTAAAGCTGCATGTCATGCGCTTCGGAGGATCGCCTCTGCCGGCGGACTCGCTGAAGATATCTCGCACCATTGCAGGCTTCGGTAAAGCGCTGAGTTCCCGGTCAGTCCGTGGCACGGAGTGTCGGGGTAAGGGGGCGCAACTGGCCTATGTAAAGCGAGGCCGATACGTCTCCAAGCGCCCAGATGGCCTTCGAGTAGATCGTGATGGCTGCATGAAGCTAGATGTGCCCGGCTGAGAAGGTTGAGCTCGCCTTGATCGCAAAGCGGATGCATGTACTGTGTGGCTGCCAAGCCGTCCGACAGAGGACATCATGAATCACTGGGGGGACAGGCGCTTTTTCAAGCTGCGAAAGACTTCCTTCGCTGTCGCTGGAGTACTGCTGCGGTGGAAGCAACAAGTGTCTGCAGGCATGGTCTCCGAGAAACGGACATCTTACATGCCGAAGCGCAGCTGCAAGCAGCAAATGCAAGTACTCAGGTTGGTGTTTTCAGGCCGAGGAGACCAAAGTTTTTGTACGTTTCTGTACCACATAAATCTCACAGCCCCTCGTGCGAAAACATGTCAATGTCCTGCCAGTCGCTCTTGAGGTTAGGAGACACATGCAGGGTCCTCAGCTTTCCTTTCTGCACTGCTTCACTGCAAACTACTTGCGGGAGTTGGAGCCAGGTTCCGCGAGCATGAGCATGGTGGGTCTCTACGCTTTGCCATCGACGGCCAGCCATCCAGCTGTTTGACACTCCTTGTTTGAGTGCTGGCCGGGCAGGTGACCATGATGGAGGCATTGTGATACGTGCCAGGGACCTGGATCTCGGGCTTATGAGCATTCGCTGGGCCTGGCAGCGTGTTGTAGCTGGTTGTGAATTTCGATGCGGTCTTCTCTATGGTCCCTGGGTTTGAGAAAGAAGGTGATGCCAAAAGAAGACGAAGGCCAAGCCTGCGACTGCAAAATCCGTGGCTCGTGCATTTTGCATAGCACTGCCGACACCTCTCTGACCTTGCGCACAGACCGAGTGGATCGACGTCGACGCCATGCTTCCCCTCAGAACGGTGTTCTTTTCCCCGCGTGACGTTCTCATTCTGCAGTTTGCATCTTGCGGTGCCTTGCAGTGCCGCGAACGCAGAAGCCAGCCAGCACCCAGGGTGGGCATGAGACCGCCAGAGAAGCGAATACCGAAAAAGACGGGTCCTCGGATGTGCGAAATAGGACAAACTCGCAGTGCTTTTGCATGGTTTCCACCTTGTCAGGATAGGAAGCGTGATGAAAGCGCCAGTGCCGACTAGGCTGGACCGTACGGGGCAACAATGGGCAACATGAAGGTCTGGCAAGGCTTTGAGAGCTTTGTTGATCTTTGCTTCTCAGGCCTCGCCCTATCAACGGAACCAAACCGCAGGAGCCCAAGAGATAGAAGAACAGCCTCGCAATTCGAGCTGCCATCTCATCTGCCCGAGGCCTGCCTTGGCTGACAAGCTTGAAGCCTAGAACGCTGCACTGACCTGATGCTTGTGCTCACTTGCTCTCTGAGGTTGTCAATGTCGCTGGACACATGAAGTTGTGTCTTACTTGTGTGGCATTGGGTGCTAGTACCAAAGAGTGACAAGCTCATGACAAAATCCGGTAGGACGACTTGATCAGCACGAACGAGGTTATAGACTTGGAGGCCGTGAGCTGTCCTGAACATTCAATCCGTGTGACACAATGTTGTGCTGAGAAGGGCTGTGCTTGTGGCAGGCCGATGACATGAACGAGGCCAGGCAGCAACGGGCCAGCAACCTACGTCATCAGGCTTCTGAGCAGCGAGGGTCCCACTTCCTGTGCCGAGTAGTGCCACTGAGGTCAGGCACTCTTTTCGACAGATGGGCCTGACACCGGAGACTATGTCCTGACCTGTGTCAGATAGTCTCAGTCGCCTCCTCGGTCCATCGCCCACGAGCCTCAAGGCATCTGCGAAGACCTCCTCAAGACAGAGGTGAGGGCCGCAATGGAAAAGGCGGCTGATTGATGCAGCTCTTGCTTGGAGAGAGCGGCCCCAAAGCTGCACATGTCCTTGCGTGATGCAGGCGGTGACCGTCCAGAGGCGCAGGATTTCCCTCGTGCACATGACATTTGTTGATGGCTGATGGCTGCGGCTGCAAGTCTGGTTATCCGTGAGCAAGCCAAGTCTGTTTGTTTAAAGGGGACAAGGAGAAAGTACGGCTTAGCATGGACTTACGCAACGAAGGAGCGAGGAGAGGAACAATCACAAGAGCCGTCAAGCCCACATCATCGTCAACAGCGATGGCGATCAGAATGACATTGCATGACCCACAGTCACCCCGATAGCTATCGGTGATTGCAACCACACCAGTGACAATGACTGCAAGAATCATGGCTGGCATGGCGGCGATAGTTCGAGAGATTTTGACAGTAGTCATAGCAGTCAGGAAGAGCACGCACAATGACCCCAGTCATCAGTCATTGTCAACCACCAAAAGGTTTTCACGCTCATGGCACACCGGCATAAGCAGCAAGAGTCCTGAAACAACCGTTCCGCGGTCAGCAACTACATGTACACACTGAGTGAGCCATGACGCTGCAAAAAGTCAGCGGGAGCACGTGAACGTGAAAGCGATCGTGACATCCTGCATATGAACAGCAGTCAGTATCCAATGGCAGTGGCCACAGTATTCTGAACAAATGTGCAATCCGGGAAGGGACGTTGTGGTCTGGAATGGTCGTTCACAGACAAATCCTAGAGAGGGCAACAAGAACACAGGCAGCAAGCGCTACTCGTACTACCTCCATTCATTTCGTGTTTGCTTCGTCGGTTGCAGACGCGTGGTCGCAACCGCGGAGGTTGGAGTCCAGAACTTGGTCATGTTTGCTGGCCATGAGGGTGAGAATCTGTTTGCTTGGTGTACAGCGTGCACGGCGAGGTTCGGCAGAGAAGATGCACCGCTACATTTCCTGGATTGCAAAAGCTGGCTTCAAGGCTCACCCGAAAAGCATCAGCAGTGACAACATCCGGTGCCCTTGGTGCCCTAAAAGAGAGCTTCGGGATCCATCGCTGTGGTTGCTACCAAGCTCTCGAAGCGCCAAGCAGTTCATCAGGAGCTTGGCATTGAGCAGCAACAAGGAGGCGGCCCTTTTGCATTTCGGTATTGTGGAGACAGTCGCAGATTGTATTTGTGTATATGTCAGACATGTGTATGCTGATACCTTCTTTGTGACGTGTACTTACATGGTGATGCCTGGGTGTTGGAGGGCACCATGTTCGGGAGTGCGGATCTGCCGTTTTTCTGTGCCAGGTTGGCTTGATCTCGCCGGTATCGCGGCAGCAGTTACAAGGAACAGGTGCACGCAGGGTGCTGCCTGCTGTCTAGAACTCCATGAGGGCCAACTATGAGGGAATGTCTTTGATTGCAGGAAGGATCTCGGGGATTTTGACGCGGAGAAGTTAAAGATGTATATCCAGGAGTGCTGCTCGCTGTAATTAAGCTGAATCCAGGCTGTCCGTGGCACCAGGTGTGCCAAAATGTAAGGATGCAGCAGGATGTGCGAGGGCGCGAAAGGGCGTGTCAGCACGGGATATGAAACCACAAAGCTTAGGCGAGAAACTGAAGATGAAGACCGAGCTGTGTGTGGAAAGGACCCGCCGCTGCTAGCACAGGAGACCGATGTCGATGGACGCTTTGAGATCAACGGCCTCCAGCTCCGGAAAGTCGACAAGGACTCTGTTCGAGTACAGCAGAGCTTCCTCTGCCCCGTGCAAGCATCATGTAGCCACGCAGGCAGATCGACGACGCAGAGATTCGCAACGATCGCCTTTCGAGCCCAGCAGCGCCCCAACAGGGCAGGCAGCGGTTGACAACGGTTGACGAGCTCTCCAACTCTCCAACTCTCATTCGCCGGTGCCAGGCCGCAGTGCGCGAGCCAATGGAGATGCTAGAGGCCATGCAAAATGCCTCCGCAGCTCAATGTGAGCTAAGCGATGTGGGCGGAGAGTGACAGGTGTCTTCATCTGCATCATCTGGTCGACATCGCAGGCTGCTGGCAGCCGCATGCGGTTGATTTACAAGGTGGAACAAGTTTCCTTCGTGCTGGAAGGCGGTCTCGATCGTTGTCGTTGGGGTCTGATTCCGACAGGTCGGTTTTCATTCTGATCAGTCGCACTTGCATGTACCCCTTCTAATTCGGCCTCATTTGGTCATTCTTGCATCGAAGGCTAGGTGCAGATGACCCAGAGGCCTGCCTGCTCCAAGCATTGACGACTTCCTCCGGACTCTGCTGCCATCAACACAAGGATGATGCTTTGGCAGCGAGGTGTCAAAACCTCCGGGCCAGTTCCACAGACTGCTTGGAGCGATCTGGTGTCCCGCCCGTTATTGAAATGTTGAGGTTTCTGGCGACATGGAAGATGCAACACGCTTAGACAAACCCTTCTTGGGAGCGGATGTATGCGTGCAGCGCTCGCTGCTGCGTGAGTTTGGCAGACGGTACTTGGATTGTGTTTTGTGCGGCCTGGTCACTGGCTCGTGCATCATTTTAAGGTCAAGCCGGAAATCAAGACAGAGCTCAGGCACACTGCTGAACAAATGTTCCCACATGAAGATGTTGATGCTGAGTTGCTGGCAGGCCCAACAAAGGTACAGTGCAGGCCGGGGGCGTTGGCAAGGGAGTTTTTCAGCGTGCCTTGACACGGACCCTTCCTGGTTGAAGTTGAGGCTTGTCCATTTGCAGTTTCCCTGTCCTGCTCCGATCGAAGAAGACTTGAAATTGGACCAGAAAGCAACAAGAAACCGTCAAGCACAACATCCCTTCAGCTGCAGCCCGGTTCGCCCCAAGCCAACTTTCGTGCCGTTTTCTTGACACCCCAGTTGCTGTCGGTTGCCGTTTTGAAACCGGCCTTTGCAGATTCCCACGCCGGATCCTCCGCCGGGGGAGTACTGGACTCAATACAAGGAGCATGCCGTAGCATCTGCCATTGTGAGATGTCATCAGCCGGCAGATGCCGGCAGGCATGCCAGGGACGGCAAACTTGTCGCCGAGTGGCCTGAGACCAGCCTTTTCTTCAGCCTTCCAATGACCCGCATGGATTTTGCAGGACGAGGGTGACAAAGGCAAAGAAGCTTGCTGGCTTTGTTTGCTTTGATGGTGAACTGCAAAACCTGTTTTGTTCATTGGTGCCACTGGTGCCCACATGGAGCACCGTGCAGGTCTGTTTTGGTGGTTCTACGATGGTCCATTGGGTCAGTGGTGGGTTGGTGTCAGCCCCAGTGTCCTGTGTGCGTGTTTGTTGGACTAGCTGTCCTAGCATGGGTGCAGCAAGACCGATGATCATGCAGGCCAGGATGGTGGGGAGCCTTTGCAATATTGTGGCTGAGAGGCCTGCTTTGATAAGTTCATGCTTGCTTTGAATGCTGCTGCAAATAAATAGCAACGCATATGGCATCAATACTCAGATAGACGGCTTCCTGCCGGATACAAGGCCTTGGGCCTGCGCTCCTTAAGTGTGAAATCGCACCAACCATACCAGCAGATACAGTAGGAGCGTCAGCTTCTACGAGGACCCAGCTCCCGATATGTTGCAAGCTTCACGAACGACATCCACAAGGGGCCCACGCACGAAGCCACAGAGAACCATGGACGAAATTGGCTTTGTGTCTGAGTGTGTGCGTGCGTATGGGGGAAGAGATATGGCCTTCTGAGTTTCTCTTCTGGAGCCTTCCATCGTATTCCACCCACATAAGAGCAGGGAGGCAAGATTGCCCGGGGAAGCTGCGAGAGATGTAGCAGAAGCTTTCTGCACACCAACGCCCACCTGCCACAGCCCTTGCACATCCTGATGCGCACTTCTTGCGGCAAGGCCACCTTGCTCCAGCAAAGCCTTCGACATTGTCCAACCGAGGCAGGAAACCAGCCTCCAGTTGTAGTCGATGTAGAGTGTAGACAAGAATGCACCGCCCAGCGCTTGAATTCTCTTGGGCTGGTCTTCTAATCGATTCACCACATGTCAGTGAGCTAGCTGCAGGCAGCTAGCAGGCACTAACGGTTATTGGTGTGCCCATCAAGCTAAGGGGAAACGGTGTTTGTAGTACTTTCTACATGAATGTTTTTCGGATCATTCTAAGACAGCCCCTGAGTAGGGCTGGCGGCTTGCTCGTGGAATGTAGTGTCGTAGGATGTCTCGTAACATGAGAAAGCCAGTTGACAAAAAAGAGGCAGGGCCGGGGTGAGGTCTGGTCATTCCACGATACGCCTCCGCCGACCAGTGATTGTTATTTCGCAAGCCTTCTATCAGAGGAGCTTGCACCGCAGAGCTCTGAGCCACATGGCAAAAATCGCTTTTGAGCTTTCAGCTTTGCTCTTGGCCGCTCACGTGGCAGACGCATGAGTTGGAAGACTTCGTGGTTATAGGAAGGATGTTAATGATGATGATGATGATGATGATGGTGGTGTTGGTGGCAATGGCGGTGATGAGAACAGGGGTGATGTTAATGATGCGTGTTGGAGAATGAGGATGGAGAGGGAGATGATAAGCAGAGACAGTGGTCAGGATGACATGATGACGATGGTGATGGCAATGGCGATGGGTGACGATGATTGGTGATGATGATTGGTGACGTTGATGGCGATGATGCATGCGATTAGATGATGCTACTGCTGCTGCTGATGATGATGATGATAGCGGCTGCTGCTGCTGCTGCTGCTGCTGCGGAAACCGTGGTCTGCCACAAGGCCGGCCCTTCACCCGGGTCCAGCCAGCAAGGTGTTGACCCGTTAATTATGAGCATTATATAGGTATCAGCGAAATTCGTTCCCAGGTTTTCTCGAGCATCTGCGCGACTCATGCTCCAAAGCGGACACAAGCTGCGCATTCTCCTGCTCCTTCGCTTGTGCAGGTCTTGCGTAACATCTCCAGATGTCCCCGGCTGCCTCTGCCCACTGTCGGAGTCTCTATCGCATCAAGCAGTCCTCCGCGGTTATTTCGGGCGATGGTTCTCATGCGTAAGGCAGGCCGCGTCGAGAGGCAGCAATGCCATAGAGTCATGCGACACTGTCACTGGATGTTCGCGACACGGGAAGGCGTCACCTAAATTGAGCGTCGCTGCGTCGCCACGCGTCGCCAGGCTCTGAAGTTTTGGAGCGAACTTGTTGCAGTCCTCGCCCTGTGGATCCCTGATGGCTTCAAGTCTTTGAGCTGGTCACTTCTGCCCTAAGCTTTGGGAATCGGTGAGCAGTAGACATGTAGCCGCCATTATATTCAGCCTGCCCACTTGGGGAATGTGCCTCCTTGCAACGTGAAAATACGAAGGTTTGATTGCTTGCCCTGTCTGTCAGTTTGGATTTCGGTGCATCTTGGCTCGGGTAGTTCCAGCGTGCCGCATAGTTCATGTACAGTGCAAGGTAGGTGAAAGATGCCTGCAGAGATGGCGGCTAAGCCCGGCACCAAGACGAGAGGAGAAGATGAAGAAGTAGCACGGCGGAGGTTGTTCAAGGCAACTCGTCTGTGCACCTTGGCCGGCATTGTCATATTCACCAGTAGCGAGGAGGTTTCCAGAATGTAGCCCGCTACTTTCTCGGTGCTGGCTGCTGAGCAGGGTCGGCTAGCATTTGAATTTAGGAGACCTCGGTTCTGGTCAAAAAACAGGCCGAGGTGTTGCAAGCCTGAGGTGGCCTGGGTTTATATGAGGTGCCCTGCGGTGAGCATGTTCATATTCCAAGTGTTATCTGTGGAGTTCTGCGCGAAGCTGAGCAGAGCGCAGAACATCGGCTGAGGCAAGTTCTTTCTAGCCGGCTGCTGCTCACGTGGAGAAACTTGCAATTTCGCGCACTCCGTCGATGACCTCAAGCAATTTCCAGACTTCTCCAAGACTAGGCTGTGTGAGCCCTTCATGAAGAGCAGCCAAGAAGCAGTTGGAAGAGTAAAGCACTGCATCGCTGCGCTGTCGTGATGTGATGCGGCTCAATGTGACACTGTCGTCCAAGGTGGCACATGTGAGCAGGGCACCTTGGCCTGCCAGCAACACCGTAGCAACATCAACGTGTCGTCTGAGAAAGAAGGAATCAGCAGGAATGAGAGAGATGGGTTGCATACCTTACATACCTCGCTGATTGAAAGACCTAAGCTGGCCAAGGTGTCAACTGCAAGTTTGCTCATAGCCGTGATGAGCTTCGACCAAGCTACATCTCCTCCGCGAAGTCTAAACGGGCTGCAACCGGAGCAGCTTCTTCACAAGTTCCACAAGAGCCAGTGCAGGCATGGACCGAGATTGAACAATTGCTTTAACTTGCTCTTCGAAACTGAAGCCTTGCAGGTGCCAGCCACAGCTGGCCAGGAAGGAGAACAGCCGGCCTCCCAGCTTCAATCGTTGATGCCAGCGACGAAGGCCGGCATCATTCACAGCGCCGCCATGTACACCCTGATCTTGCAGGGGCTCAGCGGCCAAGGTAGTCAGGGAGGACAGGGAGGACAAGGACCAACAGGACAGGGAGCAGGATCTGGACAGGCAAGGTGTGAGTCCCTGCGGCTTCCAATGCAGAGTACCACCGGCCAGCCATGCCAGCCTGAAAGGGTATGCCCCGCATCACCATGCGAGATAGACAAGGGAGGCTCCAACTGGAGCAGGCAGTCCACAGAAGTGGTAGACGAAGATGGACGTCGCTTCAGCCGGCAAACTACAGAAGACCCGGGCTACAGTCGCCAGACAACTGCTTTTAGCCGCCAAACTACAGAGGAACCTTCTTACACCGTCGGCAGCCGTCAAGCACCAGAAGAGCCGCGACGGCCATTGCCGCTTTCGGAGCTCCTCAGCCTTCCAGAGCCTGGACCCGGCGAGACCGAGTCCTCTCAGCAGCCCAGCAGAGCGGTGAGTCGTGGCAGCTCCGAGTACGAAGCCCGGGAGCGCTCCGAAGAGCTCAATGTTCGCTTGAAGAACACCTTCCTCCATTTTGAGACGGCACAAACATCAGATGCGAGCGCAAAGGTGAAGGCGCGCCCCTCTTCGTTGCCACCAAACTTCCTGCGGCGCGGCCCTGGAATGAATGGACGCTCAGGTAGTTAGGACAAGCAACTAGTGAGACTTTTGAGCGTGCCGTTTTCCCACCTCTGCATGGCACAATGTTTGTCTGTTTCAAGAAGCTGGCGGCAAATGTTGCCAAGCCTTCAGAGCAACAGAGCTCAACATAGTGAGTGGAACTCCTAGAAGTGCTTGGAATGCAATTTTATCAAGTGTTGCGTTGTCAACAATGGTCCTACCTGGCCCCATGGAGTGTGATGGGAGTTGGTTGTCCAGGCCATGAGGCCATGAGATGACAGCTCTTCCAAGTAGTTAGTAATCAAGAAATACCCGCTAGGTCCAAGATATTTTCGTGCCCCAACAAGCATCACACTGTGTTTGAAGTGAATTCATGCATGTGCCCGTCACGCTTGCGTTGGCGCAATCCCGTGAGCTTCGATGGGTACTCCCCATATGCGGCTGGAGGTCAATTGACCACAAACAACAAACGACCCGGCCGTTGTGGCCAGTTTTTGGCTTGCCAGGTAGACATTTCTGTTTGACTCGCTTTTTTCTGCTGGACCGAGCCGCTGGGCCGGCGTACTGCAGCCACCCAAGACCTGTTTCGCAAGGGGCATCACATGGTAACGTGGTAACGTAGTAGATCGCAGAGGCGTGGTGGCAGATAGGTCAGTTGCACCCGGCCCTACCGTGCTGTTCTGATTCTGGTGATTGCCAGTCTGCAATGAGAGGACAAGGGATGCGTTGTTTCGTTTGTATCTGGTTTTGAGCGGCAGGCAGGACCGGCATGTTTCCGGAGTGCAATCTGCATGCGCTCCAGCTTTGTGGTTCCTGAGTCTACTGTCTGTACATGACTTCGCGTGATGGCGCGTTCATGGAAACACATGCGTCGATGCCCGTATGGCCTGGCGGTGACATTGTAGACTCGCCGCACATTTTGACACGGCAGTTTGGACCTGCCGCTGCTGTGGTCAGCCTGTTCAGCAATGCATGTCAACATGGCCAACACTGAACCTTTGGAGCCCTCCGAAACACATTGTGACATCGTGGAGTTGACCTGGAGCCTTGATCACTACTGCTTAGCGGATTACGATCATCAGCCATTATCAGCAATTTGACATTGCGGCCATGCGTCGAATCGCCGTCCTCTCAGCGCATGCTACTGCCAGCGAGCCGTATCGAAGCGACTCCTGGCAAAGAGAAGCGCTGGCTGTAAGAGGAAGACATGCATAGATCAGGATGAGTCCCTGGCCACAGAACCGGCGCGAACGATGAATAGCAGAAGTAGGAAGATAGGAAGGAAAGGTACCCGACCGAGTCTGTCATAAGCACGCCGAGAGAGAGACGGCGGTTCCCAAGGAGCAAAGCGGCTCACAGGGAGAAATGTAGAGGGAACGGAAAGCGAGAGCAGGCTTCGAGTCCAGTAAGGAGAAAAGGTGAATACTTTCATGCCGAGCCACAGCCACGATAAGGACAAGTGCGATGTAGAAGGCGTTCGCTTGCCTTGGCGGCGATTCCCGGCCCGGCAACCGAGAGCCCCCAGTTTTCGGACAGTTGGATACCAAGTGCAGGACCACGCTGCATCTGCTACAAGAATCTATGAAATTGATGGCACTTGTTGTCGAAGCCGCTTCGCTGGCAATCGGCAGGACGGTGTGGCCATCATCACGCGAAATCGGCCTGAAGTGCTCAACGCCGTCAACTTCCAGGTGCATGGTTCAGAGAGTCAGCATAGGAGGAGGCTGAGGAACCTGCTCAGTAACACCGGAGTAGGAGTAGTTTAGTAGTAGTACTAGCAGTAGCAGTAGCAGGAGCAGGAGCAGGAGCAGTAGCAGTAGCAGGAGGAGTGGTAGTAGTAGTAGTAGTAGTAGTAGTACAAGTGGTAGTGGTGGTAGTCGTCGTCGTGGTGGTGGTGGTGGTGGCTGTGGTGGTAGTGGCGGTAGTGGGGGTGGTAGCGATGGCAGGAGGTTCATGTTCTGGAAGCAGCTCCCTCTGTTGTGTTGCATGAAACTAGGTCTCTGCCTAAAGCCGCAATCAGTTTCCGAGATTGACCTCAGGATCTGTTTGGATTCGCTCCTACATTCTCGCTCTAACCACGTCCTAATGGGAAGCATGCTCGATGCCGATGCCTTAAGTTCGAAGTGCTGAGGTGCACTGTGACATGATCGCATCTTGACTGAAGGGATCGATTGTGATCGCAGCGCTCTTCAGCAGCAAGTGGACATGTTCCAACAAGCTTGTCGAGTCGAGGCTGCGTTCGAGGAGGCAGAAAACGATGAAAGCGTCCTCTGTGCAGTTCTAACTGGAGCTGGGCGCTACTTCTGCTCTGGAGCAGATGTGCACCTCGCTTGTAGATTGTAGGTCGTGACGGCAGGATGCAGACGATCATCTTTCGTGGGAAGGTCTGCCTCTGGTTCTTCATGCTGAGGACCGGAAGGAAAGCTACGTATTCGGCTGCTGATCCGCCGCGGGTTCAACAGATCAAGGCTGTCCTCTCGCAGTACGACCCGTTCGATGCGAACACTTGGTCAGACGTGAATATGTATGTGCCCCAGATGCAAGGTGCCACATACACTCCCACGCTTGTGCACGATGCGCATGGGTCGTCGTAATTCACTCTGCTAGGATGCTTGGATTAATTTCTCCAAACCGCTGGTGATCGCCGTCAACGGCCCGGCCATCGGCGAAGGAGTGTTTGCCTTGGGTAGCGCATGGTCTTGTTTCCATGACGCTGCGCTCGCGCGTTACCCGCAGCCGGCAGGATTTACTACACTGATGCTTCGTTCTCAGAACACAAGGGCGTGTGTTGGGATGCGCTGCGCGAGATGCTGCACCAGAACATGTCCCACTTCCAAGGCTTGGGGATGTGATCTACGCAGCAGATTCCGCCTTTTTTTGGGCACCATTCGCAAGATTTGGAGTGGTGCCGGAAATCACTTCCTCGCTCACCCTGGCCCAGAGAGTTGGACCCTTGCGCAGCAAGAAGGAACAGACAGCATTATGCCTTGGTATGATCGCGACAGCACAAAACCACTGATGATAATGCTTTTGTGGTTGAGGCCTGCGCAGAAAGAGTCGCACCAAGGCCCGATGATAGCATCTGAGATGGTTTTGTTCTCCAAGAAGAAGACGCCGGAGGATGCAATGCTTCAGCGTCAAAGGTTTCAGGTGACGGAAACTACTGCCGTGCTGGTGCAGGAAATGCATCGTTGCGGCCTCGTGAACGAAATCCTGCCCGTCCGTCTCTTACTTTCTCCCTGACTTCAGACCACGTTCTGCGTTCAGTCCTTTTGCTTCTGTAATCTTATGTCCGGCTACTGCAGAATGCGTGACAACCGGCTGAGTTTCAAAGGCGGGAGACAAGTTCTTGCCGAGCGTCCTGGAGAGGCCGGTTGCGTTCAGGCTTGCTTACTGCAAGTAAATGTGCTGCCAGAAGAAGGGAGCCAGGCAACGACAGCGATCAGAGCCTACATGTGAGATCACAGTAGTTGATAACAAGTGCACACCTCTCGCACGTTGCATCCCAATTAGCCTTGTCGTCCCTGAAGGGTGCGATCGGGGCTTGAGCTCTCTGGCGCCCCCCAGATACGGCTGAAGGCTTTGAGGAGATGCAGCGATTTATTGTCAACTGCTGCTGCGAAGCACGAACTAACTAAGACACCAGCACCTGCACATTGGCCATTGCAGGATGATCAAGGGCCTAATCAAAAACAAGGTGCGAGTCTCAATACATATGCAATATCCTGGCATGTGGGCCAGCAGACATGCAGTGTGCCAGCATGGCAGGCCTGGCGCGAGCAGATGATGGCCCAAAACCGCCAAGAGCAGGAGAGATGTGTACGCGAATGCTCAGGAGATGTATCTAACTTGCAGGTGCTGTCAGGACTGTAAGGCCTGCCATCTTTCCGCAAGTGTAGCAGCTCTGAGGAGATGATTCGCACCCGACTGCGCGATGGGGATCAATCAGCCAACCTGAAGTATTATCAGGACCCATACCAAACTGGCACTGACTGCGATGTGCAAGTGTTTTTGTTTGTTGGTCGCCCCAGGCCCAAATGCCCAAGAAGAAATGAATTGGTTGGTTGCATGTGGGCGCCAGTCCAACCTGTGACCGGCAGCTATCCATGGAAAACGGCTGCATGTTCAATGTTCACTGTACGACGCTGCAGATAATTCAAGAGCAAACCTTAAAGCTTTCTCTTTTGGAGATAGACGTTTGCATGGCTCGAATGCTTTGAGGGCAGCAGTTGTCACTGAGCACAAGGATAAACGAGAGCGTCATCTCTGTAGCAATTGATGTGGTGCAAAAGAAAACGATGAAGTCTTCCTGGACCTGCTCAGCACCCGTGCTCCTGTGCCCCGTGTATAGAACCTGGACGTTTTTCTGCTCCTCGAGTTCCACATCATGGCGACGCAGCACGGTGCACCTTCCGCGTTGCGGATGCCCCACCCCCCTTACCGCCTTCTGTGAGCCAGGTTCCGTCCATGCCGAAATATCCCATGAGCGGGGGATGGGCGAAGAAACAATGATGGCCTTCATCCACAAGTATCTGAACAGTATTCTGCAGCCGTTTGCTGACAGCGCCGCTGCCTTACCACCTGCACATACAGCTTTGGATGCGAAGATTGCAAAGGGCATCGCACGCTCCAGCTTTTTGCTGCGAACTTCATTGCTTGATGAATTGTGCCAGTAACAGAGGTCGACGAATTGAATGGAAGCTTGGCTAAGTTTCTGACGGACTTCCTCTTTCCTTGCTACGTCTCAACCTAGCACACACCGTGCAGGTGCAGTGACCCAGTTAACGGCTGATGTCGAGACCTTTGCCGGTCACGAGAAACAGCTTCAGGACCAGACCGTTGTTGTGTTTTAACGCAAGGTGCGAGGGTCGATGTGGAGCCCATGCCATTTCGTACGTAAGCTGCATGCTTAAACCACAGGACCACGCACAAACACTGAAGGTGATGCAGGCGCGTGTGCCCTGAGCACCTCTTATGACAGTCGGGACACGATTTTGGATCACTTGGCTAGCTTGTTGGGTGTATCACAGGCAGAGATGAAGGCTGCCAAGGTGAGCATGCTCGAGGTCAAGGCCGACATGCCACTGCATGTTGTGTGCAGTAGCCTTTGCATCGGGCACGGATCGGGGGGCCAAGGAAAACCAACAGAAACAGTTTGCTGACGTCGACTCGCAGCTTTGTGCGGGCAAGAAGGAGGCGAAGAAGGTGCGCTACTACAGTCCGCAAATTCGGACCTGCCACTTGCCGAGTGGCAGGTTAAAGAGGATCTCTTCGAGCTGGATCGCCGCCATCGCGAAAGTCATTCCATGATGCTCGATGTGAAGCGGATAAACGCCGCGGCCGACCTGGAAGTACGGAAACTGGCTGTCGAGGTGAATAATGTCGGTGTGACCCGGTTGCGCTTCTCAGCAGAGCGTTGCAACCAGCTAGCTTGAAAGAGGAAAAGACGTGGCACGAGTAAGAGCGGGAGTTCGCTTGCTTCATGTGCTTCCGAGTTCAGATGATTGTGTGTCTTGTAGTGAGGACGTCGTCATGGAGCGGGTGACTGGTCAGCTGGACCCTTTGAGGGCAGAAGTGGCGAGAGTTGTGCAGGGCAGTTCCCGGACAGAGGAGTCGTGCCGAATCCGGTCAGCAGTCAGTGCTGCTTTTCCTCAGCAGCGAAAGCGATTTCGAAAAGCCGCACCAGAGTGGTGATGTGCTTATGCGATGGATCGAAGCAGCTTTTCATCTCAGGAAAGTCTGAAGAGCGGGTCCAGAAGCAAGGGGAAAGATTAGAGACCTTCTTGGAAAATCATGGCTTGCAAAGACGTCAAGAGGAGCTGAGCGCCTTGACAGAAGCTCGACGTTCGTGAGACTCGTTCAAAAGCCCTCAACTTGCCACCCGAGGGGTCAAAGCAATCCTCAAGTCGATTTCGGACTTGGATCACAAGCTGGGCCAGACCAATGCGAATCTCAAGCAGCAGGTCCTTCGTGCAAAAGATACGGACGAGGACCAGCGGAGTCGAGCTGTTGACTTGCCATATCTTGCCATGCAACTAGCGAAAGTGTGCCGAAGATGACGTAGCTACATGGCAGGAGCTCGCCACTTTGGCGCGCCGTCACGATCAAACGATGAGGATGCAGGTTGTACAGGAGAGGCAGCAACAAGAGAGTGCTTTGGACTGAGCATGTAAAGCTTGTCCTTTGGTTTCCTCACAGATCGGTACAAAAACCCAGAGCATCGGTACTGGAAGAATGCGGTAGTTTGAAAGACTTTACATACGAACAAGGTGACCGAGCTGCCCAGTGCGACAAATCAAGTTGCACTGCAGTCAGGTAACGACCGCCAAGCGGTTTTCACAGGGAGGCTGGATGGGCTTAGGGCCCCTTGGCAACACTTTGGTCGTTTCGCAACACGAACTCTCCGCTTGGAGCTGCTGGTTCCTGCGAATCACCAGGCCGACATCCAAAACGTGATGGAAAGCCTCGGCTTGACGGAAGGCTACTGCACGATGAGTTGTATGCTTAGCATGGGTTGCCAAGGGTTGCCTGTGCAGGAGCGGCGAACTTGGTTTTGACGGTGGAGAAGTTGAAGGAAGCCTCGAGCGCGCATGGCAAAAGCTTGGACGAGCTCCACGCTCTCTGCCGCGATTATGGTTCCGACATTGTCACACTGCAAGAACGGGCGGCCTCTTGGCATCCTAGCACGGTCTGCGGTGTGTGATGCATGTCTTTGTTTCTTAACCTCACGCAGCGCTCCGAATCCGCGCATGTCTACAGACGCTGTCGTTTTCGAATCTGTTGCAATCTTCCGCAGCTACAGGATCTTCTGCTGAAGGCCGATGCCGTCCTTGAAGAAGAAGACAAGCGCATCGAAGAGACTCTTGCAAAGCGCCTCCAGGAGCTGTGGCGAGGCTTAAAGCGGCCGCACCAAGAGGTGACTAGCAGCTGACTGTCTGGGTGTCTGCCCGAGGCATGAAGATTTTTGCCGGAACGAGCGTCTTGGCGGCAGGATGCCAGGCCTTGATTCGAGCATGCAGCTGCGACAAGCACTGCAGGGAGCGGGACCAAGACCAACTCAAGCAAGAGGCTGACACGAGGGCCCGGCAGCCGCTTGGATGAATTTGGATTGCAACAGTGGGCAAGACTCGACTATGATCAGTATGAACTATAAAGCGACTCGGCTGAGTTGGGGGCCTAAGGCACGAGGAGTGCATGAAGCGCATTCGATCGCAGGAAGAGGCAGGGAGTTGTGAGCTTCAGAGCAACCGATGTTGCGGCCAGTCCCTTGCAAGAGTCGCACATGCACAGCCGACGGGTTTTGACAAAAGGTCGCAGCGACCTAAAGCATGTCTGAGGAGAGTGCCAAGCTGAGTGACAGTTTGAAGCCGCTGGAAGCCGGTCTAGCTGCTCGCCAGCACTACAGACAGCATGCGCTGCTTCGGTTTTTTCTGGAAAGCTTCGTTCAGCCCGGAAAGACCGCGCGAGGAGATGTGCAAGAGTAAAGTTCAAGTACTGGAAGGCAGGATGCGAAGCCCGACTTTCATGCCTGCTCATATCGACACCTCACCATTGAACAACGGGAGGCAAGATGGCTACGGCTGAGGCAGGGCACGTGCAATGCCTGGGTGACGTGTGAGACAGCCTTGTGCCAGGAACAGGTGGGTGGTTTGAGCGGAACCATGGATCAGACACAGGACGCCCTACCCGCTCACGCGCGCCTTCCGGTCGATACTTCAATTGAAGAGATTTTCCGAAGGAGTATTGGAAGGGCCTGACAAGAGGAATCCAGGAAACGTACCGAAAGGTTACACTGAGTGATCCTTGGCAGCACGGGCTGGTAGCTGCAGCGCTCCGTCCTCAATGAAGTGCCAGCTGAGGAAAGACAGCCATTAAGGACCCCTCGCTCCGCAAATGGAGAGAGCCAGCTGCCCTCAAGGCAGCCCTTGACTTTGTCAGTTCCTGTACGGCATGCGAAGCCTTCAGCTGTGACCAGGGGAAGTGGTTCTGGGCATGCACTTCCAGCTCTGACGAAGACCGTCTAGAGCTCTGCAGAAAATCAATGCTGTCGGTGAGCAGTGAGAAGTCGTGGGCATGGCATGAGCACTTGCTCTCAGCACTTTCGAGACTTCTGCACAGGATGAGGACTGTGCCATCATCGTTCGGAGAGGAACTGCCCTCGAGCCTTCAAATCAAAATCTCGACAATTCCTGGGGATGCAAGTTTGACAGCTTTGCTCCTTCTCAGCTTGACTTGCTGGTTGCACTGAGTATGATGAGAATGGCAAGTACACGATGATCACGTACGTGCTGACTTCCAAGCAAGTGAAACAACACCATGTTGAACAAGTTGTTTGAGATACGAAAAGAATGGGAAAGATGTTCGAACCTTTTTAGCCTCACGTCAAGTGCATTATGATGGTCCAATATGATAACAGTGTAACGCCCAGCCCTTTGAGCTGTGTTGATGAAGATTCGGAAATTCGGTTCAGTCTGCAGATGCCGAGAAGGTTGCTTCTTTTCGCAGGCTCAGATTTGGAAAGCCAAGCAGGAGATATCGCAAACATTGCGATCGGCAGCACTGTTCCAGCAGGGCCACGTTGCAGAAGAATAGATTCGACCTAAATTGCTTCGCTCGGTTGCAGAGGGTAGCGGATGCTAGTGGCAAGCAGCAGTTCGACAACATTTTCTAAATGTGCGACACGATTTGGACAGGCAATGAGCTTTGTTGTCTTTAGCCGGCCGCCAATCCAATGGGAAATCAGCACGCGGTGATTCGCTGAGTCTCATGGCCTGTCCAGAGCTGGAGGGGTGCCGATTTCCACACCAAGATGGTTTATTCTGCAAGGGGTTTCTCGGACTTGTTTCGGAAACTGAAAACGTTTCAGCACTGGATGGCCTTGCTGCGCAGTCCTTGGCTGGGCTACCAAGCTTTCTGCCTGAATCATGTGCCCGTGCGCTGAGAAGCTTCACCTGTCAAGAGATTGTTCCAGGCTGTGCCCATGGAAAGTCTTTGCCGATATGTCGCAGCGTCTGCCAAGCCGCGCGAGAGCGATGCGGCACTCTAGTCTTGGCCATGATGCCAGCCTCGGCTCAACAGCGGCTAGATTGTGATGCTTTTGTGGATGGATCGTGGCCAGAGTGCGCAGAGCGCGATGAAACATCCGATTGTTTTGCGTCATCTTGCAGCAGCGGCTCATATTCACTGCAAGACAGACCTTGCGGATTCTGCAACGGCAACGAGTTCACGCAGCTGGCTATGGACGTGTGTGGTGTCTGCAACGGTGACAACGCTTCTTGCACTTGTGACGGCCTTTCCGTCGGTGTGCTTGATGCATGCGGGCAATGTGAGGGTGCGGCAACAGCTTGCCGCTATTTGGAAAGCGATCCACGCATGGTTGGATTCTTGTGCACGGCATGCTGTGTACTGGTGTTAGTCGCTGCCATGCTGCTGATCGTGCGGAAGCGCTTGTGCAAGCACCCCAGAAAATGCGGCTCCATTCCCGGCCCTGCTGTCGGAAAAGCGGTCTCGACTGTGGCGCAATACGTCGCAGATGTGCAGTCAGGCTGTTTCTGCAGCACAGGACGATTGGTTGCTCGGCGTCCGTGGTGCATCATTGCTGCAGCGCTTCTACTAGCTGCCACTTGTGGAAGTGGCCTGCTTTGGCTACAGGTAGATGAAGATGTCGTGGAGATTTGGGTACCTTTTCAAGCGGAGAGCGTCCTCAATAGAGATCGCCTACAAGCATTAACAGCGCGGCCTCCCTCCCGATCGGTGTCTGTCCTTCTTGTTTCCCGCAGCCTCGGCTTTTCCAGCAAAGAGTCCTTGTTGCAAGCGCTGGCAGTCCACAACACTTTGGTCGACATCGTGATCAACAGTACAGCCGGAAAGCGATCTCTGCTGGGCGCATGTCTTGCCCCAACTGCCTGTTATGACAAGGATGGAGGGTTGCTTGCTGGCCCTGACAGCATTCTAAGCCCTTTGCAGCTGTGGGGGTTTGGCGAGGGAGCATTGGAATCTGACCCAGATCCAGTCCAAAAGCTGAAGTCGGCGGTGGAAGGGACATCCTTCGAGGCTGCCAGTCTTGGCCAGTTGCTAGCATGGGATGAAGATCGAGTTCATGCACTTCGCAGTGTCTATGTGCTCGATGGAAGCTTGCCCATGAAGCAGCACATCGAGCAGTGGGAGACGGCTGCTCGCCACGTTGCAGTGACTGCAGGGGGGCCCAGATATCCCAGATCTGATTTTAACTTTAGAGAGTCGAAGGAAAGAGTCTGAGAGTGCACAGAGTGCCCGTCGGTCGCTGGTCGCCGGCAGGCAGAAGACCGCTCGCCAGCCTGGTCTGTCCACGTGTTCAGCCAGCGTGGGTTGGCAGATGATTTGGAGGATGCAGTTGATAGCGACGTCAACAGCATTGTCCTGGGCTACTGTCTGATGTCGGTATATGTCAGTGCATTCATTGGTCGCCACGTAGATCTACAGCGAGGAAGGGGTTTGATGGCGACGGCAGCCATGCTATCCGTGGGTCTGGCCACGCTGACTGCCTTCGGCCTGTGTGCAGCGATTGGAGTTCGCTACAATGCCACTGTAAGCATAGTCTGATCCCCGGTTTCGATTGCAGGCACAACGTGTCATGGACAGCTAGATGTGAGCATGGATTCAGGCCATCTTTGTGATTATGGGAGTCGGTGTGTGCCTTAGGTGCTGGGTTCGTGATGTTGGCGAAGCACTAAATGCAAGCCCAGGTGTGGACGATTCCTTCCTGATCGTGCGGACCCTGGAAGAAGAAGATGATGCCGAGGGCCCAGGCACCGAGGAGCGGATCGCGAAGGCGCTCGCCAAGGCACCTTGATCGTCCTGCAGTCATGCAAGAGTTCTCGCGCACCCTACGTCCATGCTGATTCTGATTTTGCTGGTCGTGCCGACTCTTTTTGTGCGCTAGAAGTGTGTGGCATGTTGTTCACGGTCGTCCTGAACCACTGCCCCGCGGAGCTGCAACAGGTGTGCTTCTGGGTGACAACAACAACGACAACACAATCGCAGCAGCGACACTTTCAATTGGATGCTGTGCGAGCGGGCTCCACGCATGATCAACTCCTCCTCCTACTCCTACTCCTTTGGTTTATCACCACTACCACCACCACCACGACGACTACTACTGCTGCTGCTGCTGCTACTACTACCACAACTACAACTACAACTACTACTACTACTACTACTACGACTACTTCCACTACTACTGTGCCGCCCCTGGCGTGCCAAGTGGGTGACAAACTACTGCTGCTGCTGCTACTACTGCTGCTACTACCTACTACTACTACTACTACGACGACGACTACTACTACTGCTGTGCTGTCCCTGGCGTGCCAAGTGGGTGGCCACCTCCTACTACTACTACCGCTGCTGCTGCTGCTGCTGCTGCTACTTCTGCTCCTCCTCCTCCTCCTCCTTTTCCCACTCCTCCTCGTACTGCTAACTGCTGGCTGCTTCTACTTCAAGCCAAACGGCCCCAAGCAGACGCGATATGCCACGAGGATGCATCTCAGTGATCGTCGAAAGATGTGGTCTTCGTCGTCGCCCTTTGCTGCACTACTAGCCTCGGTCCTAGTAGTCGTAAGACTGGCTCTTCTGAGCACAGGTGGCGAAGACTAGACGTGACTAGATCGCTCGTGTATACACTTGTGCCTATTCTGACGGGATTCGTTCGAGAGCTGACTACCTCTCGAGTCTGTGCGGCAGCTTTTGTTCTTTCCCACCTTACCCTCGAAGCCGACGCCAATCGAGTTGAGAAGTAGTAGGAGGTGGTAGTAGTAGTAGTAGTAGCAGTAGCAGTAGCAGTAGCAGTACTAGTACTACCAGTAGTAGTAGTACTAGTACTAGCCATATTATTTGTCGTCGTCGTCGTCGTCGTAAGGGCACGCTGCTCCACAGAGGCAGTCTCCCACTGCTGCATTCGCTGGTCGTTGAGTTTGGATGTGCGACGAGCGACAGACATTGCTCAAATTATCCGCCCGAAGTCCTGTGCGCACTACAGGCTGGGCCCTCGGTGCTCCTCTCGTCCACCACCAACATTCTCGCTTTTGCCCTTGGGGCTGGTGCGCTGCCACTTCCTAACTTGCAAAATGCAGATCATTCAAAATCATCTAAACCAGCTGTGGTAGCAGTGGCACTGGCAGCAGTAGAGGAGGAGAAGTCACAGCATCACAGGTACTCCCATGCCAGCGCTGATCTCCTTTTGCATCTACACGAGCGTGGGCATGGCCACGGACTTCGCATTTCAAGTAACTTTCTTCGTTGCCATGCTGGCCTTGGACGAGAGGCGCAGATATTTATGGAGCAGGTGAGTAGGGCCGAGTAGGGGCACATCACCAGCCTCGCTCCGACACTGATTCTACACCCTTTCCATCTCTTTGCTTTATCGATGGAAATGATTCCTTGCAGTTTCACCACATAGTCGAAGCATCCAAACAATACCGAGTATTTCGTCGGCTGGACAAACCAGGGACCTGGCACCCGCCAGTCACCAAGTACACGCAGGGCAGAAAATGTAGATCTGGTCTGATGGCAGCCTACAGGCTCAGTCTCTTGCACATTGTGTTGTCGTGGTCCTCATGTGCATCACTCGGGCCGTAGTTTGGATATCTTGCCCGACAGGTTCACAGAGAAGGTGACTAAACGTAGGGTTGCAAGAGCTTAATGCGTGAATTACGCTGAAATCTGCGCGAGTGCAGGCGCCGACGATGCAGTCCTTCATGCTCAATCATCCCAGAGTTTTGTCGTGTTGGCCGGATACATTCCTGTGGTTGGAAAGGGCTACTCGAGGTGCAGCTGTCATGCTTAGGCCCATGCGAACACATTGAGAAAGCTTGCTGCCGGCCAGAGGCCTTGTCAAAGTCTTTAACCTCCTCGGCATGGTTGCGGAGTGCAGTCCTGCTGCTTTGGCTGACGCTGATGACCGCTTCGACCGTCGTGGCCTTCGACTTGAAGGTGCAACAAGTCTGTCTGTCCTGCAGCCCGAACGCACGATTCAATTGTACTTGGCGTGGAAGTCAACTGAGCAGGTGGGCCTGGAGCCACAAGAGCTTGTGCCTGCCAGCTCGATGACAGCAGCTTATTTTCGTCAACTCGCAGTGCTGCCTTCGGAAGCTGAATTTCCAGAGATTCTAGTCCAACATCAGGACCCGGAACCCGAATGCACCCATCAGGTGTCGCATGTGAGGCGAAGTCTGGCCTCATAGCATCTAGGCATAGCGGATGCGTTGCCCGTTTGGAAAGGAGATCGCCGACCCAGCTCTTGACCTCGGCGTCGCTCCGCTTGAAGACGCGTCAACGCAAGAGGGGCTGTTACATCTCTACGATTCGTTGATTGCCTCAACCGACGTCATTGACTCGTTTGGAAGCCTCTGGCTAAAGACTTTCAAGGAGGCTGAGAGAGAACGTGGTTCTCCTCCTGGTTGGAACTCTGTCAGTCTGACAGGAAAGCTCGAGTCTTTCATGATGCCCGTCTGTTCGAATGGCTCGAAACGCTTTTGGAAAGTAGGTCGTAGAGTTGTGGACTGCCTGGGACTCATACTTATTCCCTACTCAGGAACTCATCAGAAGGCCGATCCCTTGAGCGTGCTGGAGCTTTCGTCAGGCGCCCCAAACGTGGCAACTTCCAGTCGATCTGTGCTGTTGCTTTTCTCTCGCTTTCACAGTGATAGTGGCTATTGAACGAGCCTTCGGTTCCAGGACCGCTGCGAGCTCTGGATCCCTGCTGGCGACGCGCATCCGCCTGCTTTCAAAGGATTACAAGCCCTGGAAAATGCTGTCCCTCCGTGCCACGGTCAGCGAGGCGAACTTGCGCTTGGAGAAGGCCAAGCGTAAAGAAGGGAATGATGATCCATTTTAGTAGCTTGCCCCTGAGATCCTGCAGGCTGCGTTCGTGTACTCTCCATCAGACGTGTATCGAGAACAAGATGCAGTTCTAATCCAAAACACTACAGCATCATTGCTGTTCATGCTTATTGCGGTGCTGGCAGCCGTTTTTGTGCTGTCCTTCAACTTTGCAATGATGGCCGCTCTGACGCTCGCCTTGTACTCCTGCTGTGTGCACATGTTCGGCTGGATGGTCTTGACTGGGCTGCAGCTCAACTCGCTTTCCGTAATTCCTTTACTGCTTTCTGTGGGCCTGTGTGTTGACTACTGCGCCCACATCGCGCACTCCTTTTGGCACATGTCGGGTTCCTCGAAATCAAGGGCCTTGGCAGCGCTGCAGGGCCGTGGTCCGGCAGTGCTGCATGCCGGAATAAGCACCGGCCTCTCTCAAATGCCCCTTGCTTTCAGCCAGTCGGCCGTGTTCACGACCTTCTTCATCATGATGACAGGGATGGTGCTGGTGGGGCTGTTTCATGCACTGTGTGTGCTCCCCGTTTGCCTCAGCTTCTTGCCAGACACAGAAGGTGACAAGGACTGCTGTGTTGCGGGCTCCGCTACACCCCCGGCGAAGATCGGCATATCAGACGGAGGCCATCCGCCGCTTTAAGCGGCGACATGAAAAAAAAAACATGCTTGGCACGCCTGCAGCAGGCCAGCCGAAAGCCTTTACAGTCATGTCGGTGCTGAGGTCAAAGATCTGCAGCCCTTGTACCTTTCGATGGTTTGCCATGGATTTTCCGTGCCAGTCATGTCAGATGTTTCCGTCCCGCCGCGTGCTGGACGCTTTAGAGCTTTAGTTTTCGGAGGGTCTAGCCCTCTCCTTTTCCGGACCTAAGGTTCCAGCCAAAAAAGCAGACTGACATCCGAGAGTATGTACTGTAGGGTTGAGTGGACTTGCAGGCTTGCAGCGTTGCGGGCTGGCTTGGTTAGTGTCACTGCAAGAAGACATTAGACATGCTCGGCTTGGCAAGGATAGGCGCGGCGCAAGGCAGAAAGGCACAGTTCTCCAGCCCCCAAAGCTTCGAGAATGTTTGCTCGCTGCGACCATGGACTCTCGGGCATGAGCATATGGCACCGGAGCTCGCGGCAATTCCAAAGCCAGTCACAGAGCCCTCTGCGGATCTGGCAGAATTCATCCGTTGCTTGAACTTGCAGTTATTATTGTTGTTTTTTTCTAGAAATGCTCTCTAGATAATTGTTTTCTCGAAGTCATATTTTTAATTCTATATGATATATTCGATATTTCAGAAGCATAGAGATCTATGTATTATTTGGATTTGAGAGATTATTTCTTGATTTATATATAGTTTATAGACTTGAGAAAATATTTGTATTCGGTATCTTCGAAAAGATTGAAAATTATAATATATTTTTACTATATTTAAGTAATGAAAATCGTGGAAAAGCGAGATCTTTAAATTTTATATTAATGAACTCCCCAAAATTGAAATTATAATTTATATCTGAAGACTAGTGTCGTTATATATTTTGTCAACGAAATACGATATCTGATCTTTTCTTATGTCGAGATTCTGGATATTTTGTTACTTGTCGGATTAAAATTTAAATATATAATTTGGTGGGTGAATAGTGAATGATTATTTAGTATTTAAATAAATATATTTGTCTATAAAAATCGGAATTTTGAACGAAGAGATGCTGAAAAGATAGAAATTTCTATTTGAGATTTATTTTTTTATTTTCTATGATTTATTTTGATCTGGTCGAATAGAAATAAGCTGCTGTATTATTACATATTTATATAAAGAAGATGGATTTAAATTATATTATATTTGAATATATATTTTATGAAATTATAATATTATATATTCTTTTTGATTTTTGTTTGTATAGGTTTTTGCCGATACGAATTTCGGTTAGATGATATATTTAAATTTGAAATTTATAAATGAACTAGATGAAATATAGAAATAACAACAATAAATTTCATAAATAATGGGGAAAAACATGAACAAAATTTTTGAGAAATTTAAATATTTTGAAGATTTTTCGTATTATCGTCTAGGAGTCGTAGGTATTGTGTAGACTAGAAAATGGAAATGTAACTTGTAGGTGAGGATGGAAGTATCTTGAGTGAATGTCGTGGGATAATGGGGGGGGGGGGCGCGGGGTCGGAGATGCGGCGAGTAGGTAAGAAAGAATATCGTAGAAGAAAAAAATATGAACCGTGGGCATTACGAGTTTAAAGAGATTGTTCTATGATGGTAATTGAACCTATATATAAAAGACGAATAGGTGAAGACGATTGGAGACAAATATCCGGATTGCTCGTGCTCGTAGGTATATATATGGGTAGGGAGTGGCAAGATAATTCGAAACGAGTATTGTGGAGTCAAGACATAAAGATATAGAAAATATAATGAAAATCGTATAATAGAAATACAAATTCATATAGAGTCTATCGGAAACATGCCTATATTTCAAGAGAATATCATAAAATCGGCACGATAGAATAATAACAGATAAATATATTTAAAAAAAAAGAAGAAACTTTTCTTGCCGAAGAATCTCATATCTAATATTTTTTCTTATAAACTCTTCCAATGAGATCATTTTAGTTATCTATTATATAAATATTGTTTAAGAAAATATTAATCTATAATAGATATTTTGAATTTAATATTAAATAAAAGATTTTTGGGACCAGTGTAGTCGACTTAAGGGTTTAAAGTCCCTAAACCCGACCTCCAAACCCTAAACCCGACCACACGAAACCCCAATTATAAACAAAAATATAAGGCTCGTAATTTCGATTAAATTTAAAGAAATATATTTCATATTTTTCTCGTCGAATCACAGGTAAAATAAAAAATTTCAAAAAAATATATATATATATATTTTAATTTTCAATTCTCATTATATTTAAAGATATCTTACCGGCAAATCAAAATTTCTTATACTATCTATTTTTAAATAATTTCATATATATATATATATTTACTAATAACCAAATTATATTATATTTTTAGAATATCGAAAATTTAAGAAATTTAATATAAATTAACATATATCTCGAATTATTTTCCCTCATAATTAATATTCTCATTATTTCACAATAATCTTCATACCTAATATCCTAACCTTAATTCATAACAATTTCTCTTTTAAATTAGCCCACCTCACCACCACCTCCATTTCTTCGACACAAATTCCACTCCCGAAATACGACGCCCTCCATCAATATTTACTTTCATTTCATTATTTCGATAAATTCAATATAAGAAAGAAAAATATGAAAAAAATCGAAACAACCAAGAATTATAAATAGCGATATAATACTTCTCCATACATATATATAATTCAACATAGAGTTATATATATATATATATTTACATGTATATCTTTATCATATACTTGTTCTATCGTTAATTATTTCATAATAAATTCAATGTATTCAATCTATATAATTAAAATATCTCAGTAAATATCTATTCTACTTATCGATATATTTTTTCTATTTATAGATCTATATAATTATTAAATTCAAGTCTCTTTTTCTTGCAAGAATACTACAGTACTTATTGCAAAATCATTTTCCCCCTTTAATCTGAATTTATTTCTAGTGAAAGAGATATTTAAAAATAAACAATATCGATCATGTTTAATTCTATCTATGAATTTCATAAGAAAAAATATGTTGAATATGAATTAATTTTTCGGAATTGCAATTATGTATCTATGGCGTTCTATATTTTGTTGAAATAATAGGCGCGAATCTAAATCTTATATTTATGAGATCATTCTAGAAATGTCGTGTATATAGTGGTTTTTTTATCTATTAAATGATCGATTTTATTTTGATGAGTATTTGATTTACAAAGCCTTGCCCCCGAGCATGCTGGCCATCACCTGAGTCGAGACCATGACATGCCCTAGACGGTTCAAGCAAGTGCTATGTTCTGGCTCACTAAGCATGGTGCACCTGCGCCGGCGCCATACACCATGAATGCTGCCATTGTCGGAGTCCTGGAGATGGAACCGAAGCCAGTGTCCGAGGTACTCCAATCTGCACAGCCGAGACCGGGACACTTGTGGGTATCCTGGCAACGAGTGGTTGAAGAGGCACATGTACTGATCTTTAATTTAGTCTTGCAAACGGCTTTCAAAGGAGCGTGCGGAAGAAGAAGGCAGGGCTGGCAAACCTGCAAGAGCGCATGTGCGTGAAATCATGACCGATGGCTTTCTTTTGATTAAAGCTGCAAACATAAATCAGATTTTTCACAAGGGACTCGACTGCTGCCCTTACTACCCAGCTCGACCCCAACACAGTTCTCATGACCTCATCGCGAGACAGGCCACTTCGCGGCTCCAAGCTTCAGGCACAACTTGGTACGACACTACCTTCCGAAACTGCGCGTAAAACGAGTGATGTCATGTAAGGTATGTCCGAAAAGATCAAAGGTATCTTGTGGGAGGAGAACCTGAAAGGAAAGCCAACTGCTAACATAGCGCAGATAGCGAAGCACCATGTGCAGAATGGTGAATATATCAGCAGCTGGATCAAAAGACAACCTCTGCCACCCTTCTGTGACATCCAACCAGATGGCAACATAACTCAGATAACTGTCGAAAAAACCTAGACGGCTGGCGAGTGCCTGGACTGGCGCCTGCCATGAAAACCTTTCTGAGCACATTCGGTGTCCAGACCCTTCGCAACTCCATAGGAAGCTCCACGAAGCGCTCAAGCCCGAGTGCTCTTCCAGAGTCACTGATAGCCAGTCATCATCCTCTTAAGTTACTCTTAAGGTTTTTGCTCTCCTGCAAGGAGTCAGACCCGTGCACTTCTAGCTGCGGGCGAGTGTTGAAGAAAGGGTGGTCGAGCCTGGTCGAGCACGCGCACCGAGGCGGGAGCTCAACAGGCCGGTTTTCGGGTGAAGGTGTCTGCATGCGCAACGGTTTCTGAGGACGAGATGCAGGCAGCACGGCAGGTACACATACATCCACGAGGAGCAGACCCACCTCTGTAAGGCATCATTGTCATTGGGGCCGGGGCACTGTCGAACCTGAAAAGGGTTTTAACAGTAGGCTTTGCCCACAATATTCTGGGCAAACGCAGGCCAGCATCATGAGCATTGCTGCGGATGTTAGGCCAGACTTTGTTTGGTGATTGAGCATGGTACAGACCGGATGATGCTCATCACGCTGGCTCTCTTCAGCGCTTGCTTGCGGTGCAACGAGCTCGTGGTAGTGGCTGCAGCCCAGATGTCGAAATCCGGCTAGCTGTCTGAGGGAGTCATGCTGCCGTGATTCCTGGTCGCCTTGAGCTGACGCTCCAGCTCAGCACACCACCGACGTGCCAGCCCACCCCAAGACACCATCTCCACTGCAAACGAGCAGCGGGACGCCCAGAAGTCCTTGCTGTACTCCCCATGCACCAATGAGGCCGCCAGCTGCCACATTGTGCAGCAAAGATCTTCTACCTTGGATGGAACCGTTCTGAAGCCCTACACCTGGACGGCTATTCGAAGCTCCAACACCCTGGCACTCGCAAGCCCAACGCTCACAGGAACACTGTGAAACTGTTGCCAGATGCCCTTGCCAATGTGAAACAGTGCATGCAGGCCCGGCCTTGCAAAGCTTCCATGGGACACTGCAATGCCTGATAAACGTACAGCAGGCCGCTGTTCAAGGCCTCGGTATGCCATCGCGCCAGCAGGATCACCACTTGATACAATGCAAACCTGGCCCCAAGCTAGGACGGGTTGAAGCTTCGATCGGCATGGAAAATAGCTTGCCGGCGAGGGGTCACATGCCCTCCAAGCCCCATGCAAAGAGAGACAAGGATGCAGGTGCCCCTTGCAGCACATGAATCACCTGAAGGCACTGTGTTCGAAGGACTGTGTGGCAACCTTGCTCTGCAGAAAGTGCTGAAACTTGCGGAACTAACTGCCCACAAAGACCATTGCGTAGTGAAGCAGAACATGATCAGCGGCAGGAGGTCAGCCATCACCAAAAGCACTGCCACTGAGCTCTGAGTGCCAGTCGGAGAAGCCGCATCCCCATGTGATGGAAGGCACGACCTTGGCTTGAACTCCAGGCGCGAGCGTCAGAATCCTTTTGCTGATACCTTCTGTATCTAAGTCAGCATCCTAGCAAGCCTGCATGCTGCATGGCATGAGCCAGCATGCATCCAAAACAATGGTGAGGGCTGCACTGAATCGCTTACACTTGTCCCATGACCAGCCCTATGATCCCAAAAGATGCAAGCATGCTTTCATAGGCTGCCTTGGCATGGCTTGCGGGCATTAGGCGCCTGCATTAAACAACAATTTTCATCTATTGCGAGCTCATCTTGCAAAATTTCGCTTGATGCATAGATCGATTTCCTGAAGAAGAAAAGCACAATCAAAGGTTCTCAGAGCCTTTCGAAGTCGTTCGGTGCTCCTGAAGGGGTACGTGGAGGGAGATGCTACCGGTAGGGTAGAACCATCGCACACAAACAAGACTTCCGAGAAACGGACTGAGACCAGTCTCCGCTCTGCGCAAGTGGCGCACAAGTGCCACAACGAACGGCGGGGCACGGACACAGCCCTCTTTTCTAGCTGCACCCGGTCGGCTCTGCTCTCGAGAGACCCAGTCCCTGCAGCATGCACAGATGAAAGGTTGACACATGTAATGTTCTGTGTAAAAGCTTGAACTCGCACCAGTAAGACTCCTGAGGCTTTCCTATAGTACTGCATCTGGATCCATGGGGTCTTTTTCCTCAACCCGGGGAAACACATTCTCTACGGCGAACATATTGACGGCATGCACAAAATGTGCTTCAACGTCCTTGATCCTTTTCTCATGCTCACGTTTCGTGAGCGTTCTTCCAGGAGTGAACTCCGGATCGTAAATGAGCCGCCAGTGCTCTCAGGCATCAGCTCAAACAGAACCTATTTGGCCTTCCCCTTCGTCATTGCGTCCGCCAGCTGTTTGGTGCCGGTGACCCAGCGAAGATGTGTCCCGCTGGCCACTGCTTGCTTCACAGCAATCGTCAACTCATAGCCGGATCTGCTGCTGCGGAGGCCGTACAACGCGCTGGTGTTCCTTGTCATCGCGTCATATCGCGTCATAAATTCCACGCGAATCCATCACCAGTGCCCCAGTTGTCAGCTTCTTGACCATCTCGTCTTGACGTCCACGCACCGGAGGATGGCCGTGGATCTCTAGCCAGACTGAGTGCACCAGAAACGTCATATACCCTCCAGCCGTAATCGCTTGGACTTCGCTGCCATTGGATCCCAGCACCTCCCTTGGTGCCTTCTGACTGAATTCTCCACGCGACTATGTTCATCGGAACACGGTCGTCTTCAAGGATCCGAATGGGCGCAATGCACGTCAGCATCCCAATCGTGCTGCCCTTGTTGACGCCTTTGTTTTGAGCAGCGTCTGCCCATGTCACAATTGCAGCTCTCGTCAAAAGGATGGAAACGAGTGTTTGGTCTGCCATGCGCTTGGCCTCCTGGATCACCTTTTTGATGCGGAGGATCAGGTCGACAGAGGCCACCGGAACGGGAAGTGGAACCTCGAAGTGCATCAAGCCCACGTCTTCAAGGAATTGCGGACTCACCTGATTGGCACGCCATGCTAAAGTGCCCAGTGCCCCACGAATGGCACTGACCTCCTGAGGTGTCGCTTTCCCCTTGGGCCTTGACGCCCTTTGAGGAGATATCGGGATCTCCTCCATCCACCGGTCGGTGCAGTGTAGATCTTCTGATCCATGAACATGGTTCCGTCGGCCTTCTGGACGATATTGCATGCGGCGAACTCGAAAGCTGACTCCTCCCTTTTGCCCCATTCAAGGGCTTGCTGCAGTTCCAGCTCTGCCGCCCGCTTGTCCGAGCTCCTCCAAGAATAAAATCATCGACGTGGCACCCTGCTATGCCCACAGGGCGGCTGGACTTGTCCAGGAGGCACTTGTCAAAAGCAAGCTGGCAAGCTGCCTCCACCCGGACTTCTTTAAGGTAGCGGCCACAATGTCAAACCAGACCGGACCTTGGGCACATGACACAAACCATACGAAGGTTCGCTTGAGCTTCAACACCGTCGGGTCATCAGAGCCTGACCCGGTGCCTGAACGAGGAGGTTCTCACAATCGAGGTCCTTGATGGCCTGAAGAAAGGCCGAGGCAACATTCGCTGACTCCAGCATCCATCCATTCTTTGCCACCACAGTCAAAAGCAGCATCCGCCCCAGCTTCGACAAAGTCGGTCCAATCACGGGTGGTCATGTTGATCTCGAACATGTAGCCCATCTGTTCCTCTGGCACTGATGGCTCCTTCTGCTTCTTGCTGCCCTTGGATTCCACAGGGGGTTCTTGCCTTCGTGTATCTGCCGGCAGCATCTCAGAGTCAGCGCTCTCATCGGCCACTGACGTCTCCGCATCTGCCGCCTCGATGGGAATCACGGCCTCTGTCCTGCGGTCGAACATGAACTTGTTACCGCCAGCATCCACATGAGGCAAGCGATGTCCTCCCGGTAGATTGCATCCAGGTACTGAACAGCGGGGATCAGGTAGAGCAGCGCTGCTAGATGCCACTGGACCACATGGTGTACCTGTATATACTGGAGTTCCAGGATTTGGTATCCCAAGACCAGACGACCAGGTATGTCAACTTCATCAGATTCACGGACCACGAGAGGATTCCGGAGGATCTCGATGTGCAACAGAGGCTTCATTATTGGGTGGTCTAACACCCTCTGCGCTAGCCGCTAACCGTTGCTGTAGATGCCGCTGGCGGTTCATCAATCAAGTTTCTGTCCTTTGGACTGCTTCTTCGAAGCAGAGGATTCCGGAGGATCTCGAGGTTCAACCGAAGCTGCATTGGATGGCCCACGCGAGCAGAAGCTGAGGCGGGATGCCCAGCCACCGGACGGAATCTTGTTTCTCCTCTTCAGCGATCCAGCATGCATCGTGCTGGATTCTCGTGTGTTCGGAATTGTTCTTCACAACCTGCTCGTTGCCACCACTGCGAACCACGGTTTGTCGCTCACCGCGAAGATCCTCCTCCTTGACAGGGATATTCTTGATCTTCCCAGGAATCAGCATAGCCAGGCGAGGTTGAAGATGGATCCTCGGATCCTCACCAGCCACTCGCCTTGAAACTCCCAACGGTCTCCACTGCGTGATCTTGCAGGTACTTGAACTTCAGCTTGAGCGGGGTCCCCCACCGCATCTCGCCCTTGCCCTTGGCTTTCGGTCCCTTGGCCCCCTTTCCTTTGAAGCCAAACTTGCCGCCATCCATGTCCTTTGCCCCGGTTTGGGCACTCGAAGAAGCGGTGTCCTGGACGACCACATGCGGTGCACACTCCCGGGGAGCCCTTGCCAGCCGTCTTACCGCGGTCCTTTGGCAGCTGAGCCTTGCCACCCAAAAAGCGTAGTAGCCCCTTGCCTGTCTAGCTTTCTGGACGGCATCCCGGGCCTGTTGCAAGGTCTTCCTTCTCCGCAATGCATAGGACTCCGCCGCCGCTTCTTCTTCCAGCAAGGCTTGGTCGTCTTCCCCGCCAGCCCGGGCCTCTTCATCCGGTGGCGCCTCGTCGTTGGGCGGCTCCTCGCCATAGTAGGCCCACTTAGCGTCGCCATATGGGTCGGGATTCCAATCCTGCCAGTAGGCATCGGCAGGTGGTAGTAGGCCTCGTTGGCAGGCTCCAGCCACCATGCCGAGGGTGTCGGCCGTCGTTGCTGCCCCCAGCCCTCGTCGAACATCGTGCGAAGAGCTTGCCGGACATCCAATGGTGAGCGTGAGGATCTGCTGCCTTTCCTGGTTGTGCAACGCCGCTGCTTCCAGCAACCCATATCCACGAAGCTCGTCCTCAAAGAACCCGGTCGTCGGCTCCATGCTCCTCAGCGTCTTTGACTGGGTGCACCTTTGCAGCGGCCTTGGGCGAAGCACTCGAGGTAGCACCTTTGCTTTCGGTCCGGGCCTCTTCGCCCGTCTCGTCCTTGTCCTCGTCCTCGTCGACCGCAAGCTCCGCCTCACTGACGTCGTTCGGGACGCTCTTGCCACCACAGGCCCGCTGCAACGATTGCTGCAGCTCCACAAACAACTCTTCTTCACGAACAATCAATTGTGGCACGCACTCGCCCTGCCGCTTGTGCAAGCTCGACCAGCGCTCCAGCCTTTGAAATGTGTCCGGCACGGCAAGCGTTGAAGTGGTGATCCTCTCAACACCTCAAGCAGCTTGTCGAAACCATTCGCCGTGGCATACACGTTGGGGTTCAGATTGCGCACCACTGACTTAGCTGCCCGTCAACTGGTGCCACACACGGGGCGCCGCGAGATAAAAATGGTACCAATTGCACTGTGTCGCAGACCGCTCGAAGGCATTCGGGCTCCCGTCCCAGATTGGGACCTCGCTGTCCTTGCCGCCATGTCCCTGGCAGTCCCCAAAGTCACTTCTCGGCCAAAGCTTTCTCTTGGCCCCTATCAACGCGAAGACCACAAAACGGGAATCGTGTAATCGGGCTCGCAGTCCTCCAGCGTCGCCTGGTAGATCTTCCATGAAAGTTGCGCACAAGTGCCACAACGAAAGGCGGGGCAGCACAGCCCTCTTTTCTATCTGCACCCTGTCGGCTCTGCTCTCGAGAGACCCAGTCCCTGCAGCATGCACAGATGAAAGCCTCACACATTTAAGGTCCTGTGTAAAAGCTTGAACTCGTGCTCTGCCATGGGGGGGTCAGTCAGCGGCGAAGAGATAGAAGCGACTGCAACGATACGCACACGCGCAACCGACCCAAACGTGCCTATCGGCTCGGGGCCGGGAAAGCTTCGGGGTACAGAAGGGTTTGAAATGGTTGGAAATTACCTATATCGAAGCTAGTGGGGTAATGGTGGGTAAAACTCAATAAAATGTTCCGTGGGCTTGATGAACATGCAGCCCGCGATACGTCGCGAATCTCAGGTGCCGGCTGGAGCCGTCAAGCAATGCTTCTGATAGGCGGGACTGGCCAGGCCAGACATCGGCCCGTAGGCTGAATTTATGTTGGAGGCGTGTCTGCCGCTCTTGATCGAAAAGGCAAGATCAGCATCGGTTCGTCCATGCACTTGCACTACAGCATAGACGTACGGCACCTTGACGCACGGACCTCCTAAGGTTCCATGAACCGGGAAGCCTATCAAGCTTGAGGCAAGCAGTTGCGATGATGTCTGTGACTCTTGCGATTTTTGATCTTGGAACGCTGAGGCACCGTGTGTTCAACATCTACTTCTGACAGGCACAGCGTGAACATAAAGCAACTTTTGCAACGCGAGCCGGCACGACTCAGATTTGCAAACACGGGACGACATAAATGACTAACTGATTACATATATGAAGGTCTGATACACGGCTCGCGGACATGAGTGGCCGTGTGTCTCTCTTTGTGGATATGGAACCGTGCGAATGGGATGCAGCATGATTTGGATGCAATTGCTACAGTAAGCCAGGGAGATGTGCGAAGCTTTCATTACGCTTATTTCCTCCAGTAAAGACCAGTGAGCAATTACATAATCATCTGGCTGAGTGTTGACGCTCTGGCGGTCGGCCTCATATGGGGGGTTGGACACCGCCGACCTTAAGCTGGCGAGCGAGGCACGCGGCGGTTAAGGCTTCCATTGCACCGGGGCCAGCGCAAAGTCTGAAAAATCTGGGTAAGCTGAAAGGTCCGGAACGTCGCCCGTTTCCGCAGCCTCAAACCCAGCCGCACACTGTTTTGCGCAGCAGGCCTGCCATGGCATGGCTATGGGAGGCAGAGGGCACTGCCTTCAGAGCGATCATCGCCGCAACCGCCTGGTTGTCGCCACAATATCACGACTGCTCGGCTCTAGCTCGTTGACAAATCGAAAGATCCAAAAGCAGGATCCGAAATCGCCCAGCCCTTTCATGCGAATTGAAACCCTACAGTCGGAAGGCTACAATCAAACCAAAACATATCTTTGATGCTAAACCTCAACGTGATCTCTCAGGCGTCCGAGGTCTTCGCCAATTTCGAGGTCGCTGTCCGCGCATCCCTGAGCAGATCAGTTTTTTAGAACCCGACTTTGTAAAATAAACCGGCTTGCCTACTAGGAAGGCAATTGATACCAGCGATGCTGAGGACCTCATCCCTTGTACCAGTTGGACAGCGTGCCGGCAGTTGTTCCCATAACCATTGGACGAACTTGATAGGTTGGTGTTTGCTATGGCATCAGCCCGTCACACTTCCTAAACTGATCAGGACCACAAAAACAAAACATGCGCGGCGGACGTAAGTTCACGGAACTCGGCTCCCAACGGCGTTGGGCCAACGCCAATGCCCCAAACACCTGCCGCGTCACATCGTGATCTTGATATGCAAGACACTGCTCCAAAAAACGTCACCATCCCGGACCTAATGTGCTGCAGATAGCCAGCTGCAGAGGTTCCTGCAGAGTTTCGCAAGGCAGGGGGAAGATGCTTCATGTCTGGACACTGTCCTCCAGGGAGGCATGCGTCTGCAGTGCGAGGCTCACTTCGGGGAACCTGCGTCTGCCAGCTGTGAGTCTTCACGTCACGACGTGAGAGCGCCATGCTACAGGAATTGAGTGCAGCACGTCTCGTGGTTGGGATCATCAAAGAAAACAAGGTCCTCGAGCGATTTGAAGCACCCAGCTAAAGCACACTCCTGCAAGGTCTTCCAACCTCCGTGCTTGTAACCAAGTCCGCCAGAACTGCATCGATGCAGTCATACAGTGCAGAACTTGGTCCGTCCTGGGAAATCATTTTGTAAACGGAATTTCAAAAGAAAACGGATCCATTGACAAGGTCCCAACGGACGCAACCGCAACTGCATCACTGCCCAACTCCTGACACGAGACTGCAGAAGAGTCTTCTTCTGTCACCGGCTGAACCACATCAAGCTCGTGTCCCAGATGGGCCAAATACCTTGGGACTGTTGGGAATTGCACCCTCCCAAGCGTAACACTGAGTCTGCTGGATTCAAGGGCACCATAGAACCTTTGCAGCGTCCAAGTCTGGCTGCCACCGCAAGAACGCAAAGAAGGCTTATTTTGTATACGGATTGGCAAAATCTTCGTGCCAATGGAACGAATTGGGTCGCAGACTTGTGCTGAAACCATTTGCTTAGGCGCTGGTGGCTCTGGCTTCGCCAAACGCCACTGGAAAATGCACTAGATTCACTAGATCAAGCACATGCCACGAACGAATTCTATGGTACGGTGGCAAGTTATGGAGAAGACTTCGGAGAGGCCTTTGGAGATGCCCTCACTCTCTTGGCAGCTCTGGCAGCCGTCTTGATCTCAGCGTCATCCTCGGCTTCGCATCGCACTGAGTCTTGCTGCCATCCACTACTTGTAGCTGTAGCTAGGCAAGCAGGCGCCCTTTAGCCGCCCAAGCATCAAGAACAGTCTTTACAGACTGACCGACCTGTTTGGCATCTGGCACGAAAAGCGTGATCTCGAAGGCCTGGTCCAGTGGACTCTTGAAGGATCCGCATGGGTTCACATCGACAGGCCTTCGAAAATGCATCCAAAGGTATGGTCCCGTCTTTTGTGAAGGACCGATGTCCTGCTCCAGGGGTTCGAGAAGTGCCTTCGTTCTGCTACTTCCTGCCCCCGGGCGGTACACTGACAGGTTGCTGTATATGAAACAAGTGAGTGATGATCCGGAGCCAGCGGCAACAGCGCAGCGTTGCCTCGAGTCGTACAAGGCCCTGTGTGTAGCGACTGACCTAGATGAGAGATCGTCCGGACCTCAGAATCTTACCTGTTTACGTCTCGTCGCTTCCGTCGGATCGCGCATCTTGTATGTGCTGGCCTCTGTATCCTCTGCCGCCAGAGACGGGCCGCAAGTGGCGAGGGAGAGATGAGGAGGAGGAGGAAAGCCTGTAACGATTCCGGTTCTCTCGCACGTTGCAGGGCTAACGCGCTTTCCCGCAGCCCATCTCAAATAGAAAGTGAAACGATCCACAACTTTCATATGAGGATATATGAGGCTTGGCAGCCAACGCACCTCTTCAACCTGCAGGGGGGGTACCTTGTGAACAAGCCGCAACGAGACAAGGAATAAAAGAGTCACAGCATGCAAAAGAAGCGGGGACACGACAGGGCGAAGTTCGAGGAGATACAGGAGTGAAGGAGGGCCGCAGGAGCCGGGCCAGTCCCAGACACGTGCGGGCCGCACGAGGCACACTGTAGTGGGGGGGGAGGGGGGGGGGGTATGAAAGCAAGTGGCTGTTGTTGAACAACACGGGATGTCTATATTGCTTGCTGAGGGTTTGGGTTGGGGGTCTAGACCCCCTGGCCCCAACCTACCCCTTCAATGTGCGCGTGAGTATGACTGAGTGACCCCTTCCGGGGGTGGGAACGATTCTGTTCCCCTGTATGCACCTTCGCGACCCGACCCCCAACGAACACCCCTCTTAAGAGCATTATCATATAGACCTGAAAGGCGGCACACAGGGATCTTTGCTTTGCTCTTTCTTTCGTTAGGGCTGTGGACTAGGGGAGCTCCCCTAGCCCGCGCGCTGTCGCGCC